CCCCACCCCCCCTCCGTACGAACTGTGATGACAACAAACTGGACTAACTGGTTGCCCACCAGAGACAACTGTAGAGTGTGCTCTGGTGGTTTCCCTTTTCTGGAACACCAAAACAGTGTCCTGTTGAATCACTCATGAGGGAGGCTGGCCTGAGAATGGTGTAAATTAATTATGACCAAGTAAGAGTGTGTCTAACTGAACAGTGATCACCTAAGATCACGCAGATGTCCCACATTGCAATGATATTTTGTTTCAGGTAGCAGGAAACAGCTTGTTATTGTGCCAAGGCAGGGTGAACCTATAATGGCCTGTCATGCTATATGTAGCAGGCTCCTACCACTTCCTGTCGTGGATGACGGCTGATCATTACTGGTGAGGTGTCTTTGGAGCAGGTGTCCAAGCAGGGCGTTTTGTGTCACTTATTAACTGGCATGGGAGTTGCAGGTTGAGCCAGCAGTGTGTTACGGCCCATCTGTAGCCACGTGTGTCCTGGAGGACTGTGGCCAGAAAAGGTGAATTCAGGTGTATACTTAGAGGTGTGGTGTGTTTGTTCACACTCTCCTCTCTGTTCTCTCCACCTGTCCTGTGGGACTGTTTCCTAAAGAGACAGGGAGGGGAGGAGCCAGGTTGGCTAGATTACCTGCTGCTATGACAGTTGCACAGGCGCACAAACCGGTCTGAGATATTTTTTTCTTGCTTGTTGTCTTTTTTACCTCAGGAGTAACTCACTGAATGTATAGCGAGTAAAGGTTGGGGTTTTGATTTTTACAGTGATTGGTTGAAACCCTCAGTTAACGTTCACAAACATTTAAGAGCCAGTTTCTGGGGAATTCTTTTTATTTCTGTCTTCAACAGCCTTGGGAGCAACACCCTTTCTGAAACATGCGGCTGTTTCTACGCCGGCGTATGTCTCCTCTTAAACTGGCGCTCCTTGGAGGGACGCTGTTCATGGTGGTCCTAGTGGTTCTCCAGAGGGATGTTGGCTCTTCACCTGCTGGGGATCCCTGGTTTCAGGAGCTGGTGGACAAGAAGGACAAGGTGATAGTCATGGTCCGAAAGGCTGTCAACAACATTGGCTTCCAAATCGGAGCTCCGCAGCCACCACCAGTACAGGAGCAGCCCACCCAGGACGTCAACTGCCCAACTGGCTTCTATACACAGGCTGAACTCAAGCCTCACCTGGAGAGACCAACGCAGAACCCCAGAAGCCCCGGGGCTGATGGGATGGCATTTAAAAAAAACCATATGACCCCTGAGGAGGAGAAGGAGAAGGAGGAGGGCATGACACGTCACTGTTTCAACCAGTTTGCCAGTGACCGTATCTCACTCAGCCGTAGTCTTGGGGATGACACAAGGCCTCCAGAGTAAGAGCATGTTCTCTTATGTTCAGAATTATCTGAGATAGTTTGGACTAATCACTGTTTTACCAACGCGTTTGCTGACGTGCACAGCACAGCAGATAATTTCCTGCATTTCAGGGTCATGCTCAGGGTGGTAAATTATTTACATGTATTTTCATATTGGGCTCACCATTATACTGGAATATCACATATTCTAATCTGAATGTAGCCACAAACACTGAGTGTAGTATAGCATCATGCACCTGACAGGATCCTGGATAATTGAGGCTGCGACATTATCTGTGCTCTTGTGAACACTTTCACTCACTGTAAATGTTTGTTGTTAACTTGTCACGGGCTTGATACGCCTTGAACTATTTATTTTTCTATTTCAAGTGGTTTTTAAATGAGCTGACTGTTTGCACATTGAGCTATTTAAAGTGTTAGTGAGCAGACCTTGAATATCTGCAAACAATGGTCTATTATACGAGGCTTTGCAAGACCTTCTGTGACTTACTTTTCATCAGATATGCCACTCACTTGTGCACACTCTGTACTCTCATGCTGTTTCTTCTTCTCTCCCTATCTCTCTTTGTACTTCCATGTGGCTCAACTTGCTTAGGTGTGTGGAGAGGAAATTTCGTCGCTGTCCACCTCTGCCCACCACCAGTGTTATTATAGTCTTCCACAATGAGGCTTGGTCCACCCTCCTCAGGACGGTCTATAGTGTTCTCCACTCATCTCCTGCTGTCCTGCTCAAAGAGATCATCTTGGTAGATGACGCCAGCACTGCAGGTATGCACTAAAACATACTCGAAGATTCACTGACAGCAGACCATAAAAGAGCTTGTTTAGGAGCTGGGTGACAGTGAGAGGGGACTGGACTTCAGTTTTAACGCTATATTCTTTCTTATTTCTGCTCTTATGTAGGCACATAAATGAGATAAAATTTTGTAGGCTGAGTGGTTCTGCTAACAGGAGAGCTGTTGAGTGCGGTGAAGTTAAAGTTTCAGTAAAGTTTCACAGACAAGCAGAGTAGGTAGAAAACTACCAGTGCTACATTCCAGGAAATTAAAACCTGCAGAGAATAGCAGAAAGGAACAGACAATTCATTCATAATACTCCATTTGACATAAACTTGTAACTTTATCTTGCCATTAATATTGAAAATGTATTTAATGCCGATTAGAAAACTCATTCTTCCTATAGTACTGACACCTGCACTCACTGTAAAAGGGGTGTGTTTCATAGTAAAGTTAGACGGTGAGGAGACATTTTTAAACAATATGAAAGAAAATCTCCAGTGTGATAAAATGTGATACAGGCAGAGGACAGCTGCAGAGCACAGACTGAGAAAAAATAAGTTATAAGTAATATATTAATTAAAATGACCTTCAGAGTTTTTAGGGCAGCATTCCAGTCACAGTTAGGCGTGAGCTTTGATAAGATAGCATAGAAAGCTGTTAGCTTGGGATTTTTGGTAGCTTGCACACACAGTTGCAGTAAGGTGGAGTTTAAATAGCAGAGGAAACTTCTGTTAGACAACAGTGTCATACACAAGAATGACACTCTGTATTTTACAGTCCAATGTGTTAAGTGTTCCGACTTTACATCTTTGCCAGAAGAAAACAGTTCACTCTGGGAAATCTTGTGTATATAGTCTATAAATGATTGTTACAAAACAGTGAATTGCTAAAATATTTTACCCATAGATGGATAAGAGATGCCTTCTTTTCAGCCTTTAGAGCCCACTGTTATTTAAAATGCAAGCCAGGGTTACTGGAGGGTTTCAAGCCATACTAGCTAATATTTTAGGTGTCACATCATGTCATTCCTGGTACCAAAAGTGGAAAAAAAAAGTTCAATCGCAGTTGATGTACTTACATTGATTAATAGAAAAACATGTCATCACATGTCTTAATTTATCAGTTTTCCATTTACAAGCTGACACTAGCCTGGTGAGCCCTGCAGAGAAAGGCAGGTATAAAAATGACTTTGACTGATAAGAATAAGTGATTCACACTGCTACACGTATCAACAGCCTGTCATGGCCTGTTGGCTGAATTTGTCAGTTATATCCTTTCCTAAGCCAACGTGCTGTTACCTTCAGCTGTATTTAGACATTTCCTACTGTACCCAAACTTCCCCTTTCTGTTGCTATAACGTTATGACACATGGTTGGTTGGCTCACTCAGACTGAAACCTTATGAGGCACGTGGCGTGCATTGTGGTTGTAATTACTCTTCGAAGGGAAGTGTGACCCAGTATTACCAGCAATGTTTCCACTTCATTGCCTTTTGTTCTGGTAATGCCTCTCAGATATATATATGTCCGTCGAATCTGTGACCAAAGCGCGCCTCACTGTTCGGTGAGGTAGAAAGTGTGTTCTTTTCCATCCGTAACCAGAGTCTACCCTGAGTACAGCAACACTGGAACTCAACTAAGATAACATTTTCAGCTGGAAAGCTTTTGTTTTAAACGAAGACAAGTTGAGACAGACATGATAATTTAGTTGCATCTCCACAGAGCACCTGAAGATCCAACTGGAGGACTATGTGCGTCAGCTGAAGATCGTCCGAGTAGTGAGGCAGCTGGAAAGGAAGGGCCTCATCACAGCCAGGCTGCTGGGTGCCAGCCTGGCTCAGGGAGAAATTCTCACCTTTCTCGACGCACACTGTGAGAAAACACACACACACACACACACACAAACAAACAAACAAACAAACAAAGAACACCCAAGCAGCTGTGTGTTAGAGTTAGAGGTGAATATGTTGTCTCCCATCTCATCCAAAAATGTAATCTAATACACTATTAAGATCCATTCATGTTTTGGGACAATTTAAAACTCTCTTCACTTTCACACAGTACTTAATAAACCTATCAGTAACATTTACTGAAGATGAATAAACCATAAAATCTAAATATGTTTTACAGCCACAACATGTTAGAGAAGGTTAATTGTAGCATGCCTGAAACATCTGTGTTAGGCCAGAAAATGTGCCTGTGTTTAGGGAAAGCCTGATTTGAGGCACATAATCGATTTTATTTGTGGAAGCAAAATTCTGTTTGATATTTATATTAATTTACTTTTATATGCCCAGTTTTTCTTTACCTGCAGGTTTAAATACTCAATTCTTCAATCTTTACACCTGATTCTGATTGTTGGCAGTAACTTAATTTTTATGTGACGGAGGTTAAGAAGGAAATATGAAGTGATCTCTCTCCTTCTTCCCCTTTACAGGTGAGTGTTTCCATGGTTGGCTAGAGCCCCTGTTGGCACGCATTGTTGAAGAACCCACTGCTGTGGTTAGTCCAGAGATCAGCACCATTGACCTCAACACTTTTCAGTTCAACAAGCCTGTGTCCACCAACCGCGCTTTCAACAGAGGCAACTTTGACTGGAGCTTGACTTTCGGTTGGGAGGCGATCCCCGAGGATGCAAAGAAGCTGCGCAAGGATGAAACCTACCCTGTAAAGTAAGAAGTGCTGCGTTGGTTTCACTTAGAGCGCCCTGAATCATTTAAGTGCCTAAAGCTTTTGTACCTGCCTGTGAAAATTTCAGAACACCCACTTTTGCCGGAGGCCTGTTCTCAATCTCAAAGAAGTACTTTGAACACATCGGAACGTATGATGACAAGATGGAGATCTGGGGCGGTGAAAATGTGGAAATGTCATTCAGGGTCAGTCATTATCTATACTCCCACAGTTCCACATATTACTGAACTACTATCCCGCTTATCATCAAGTTAGAGTCTGAATTGCTGCCTGTGTCAAATGTGATTGACAGGTGTGGCAGTGTGGAGGGCAGCTAGAAATCATCCCTTGTTCTGTGGTGGGCCATGTCTTCCGCACCAAGAGTCCCCATACCTTCCCCAAAGGCACAGAGGTCATCACTCGCAACCAGGTGCGCCTGGCTGAGGTCTGGATGGATGACTACAAGAAGATCTACTATCGCCGCAACAAGAATGCTGCAGTTATGGCCAGTGAGGTCAGTGTGAACTTCTGACAGTTCAAATGTTAAATTCACATGGATACAATGTCATTTATCACCTTTCTTCTCCCACATTTTTGACTAGAATTTATTCTCCAACTTCCTTCACTGTTACAGCATAAGTATGGGGACATCTCTGATCGTTTGAAACTAAGAGATAGGCTGCAGTGCAAGAACTTCACCTGGTACCTAAACACAGTTTACCCAGAGGCCTTTGTTCCAGACTTAATGCCAGATAAATTTGGAGCTGTAAGTCATGTCTCCCTTTATCTGCATGTAGATGTCAATGACATAACACACCTCACTTGTTGATTAACTGCAGCTTACTATTATTGTGTGTGTGTGTGTTCGCGATTTTTTTTTTTTTACCAGATAGAAACTCAGGATCTCAACTGTCTGGATGTTGGTAGTAGAGCAACCTATGGAAAGGTAAACCTGTTTTATTTTTTTTTTTGCTCATGTACGCAGTGTCACAAACATGGGAAGGGCAACCAAGGTACAGTGGACTATACACTTGTGAAATTAGAGCTCTCTGGTGAAGTTTGCGTCTCTGATTGGATGAAAATGGTCTCCTCCAGTACTTTGGAATACACAACTCATTAGGGCTGCGTATAAACAATTGGAGCCAGCTGTGTCTTAATTCATTATGTCTTCACCAGCAACGAGTCCGGTGAGAATTAGATCGAGCATACTGCTGACTCTGAGAGGGCGAGTACACGGGCTACCAGTCTGGCACCCTCAATTAAAGATCATAATTCGCCAAAGAGACCCAGCCCATCTGCTGAGTTGTCCTCGTCCCTCCGCTCCTCTCTCTAGCCGCAATACGACTTTTTTTCCACCCAACTCCCAGAAGAAACTTTCTTTTATATCTTACTCTTCGGCTATTCTCCTTTTCCTTGTTCCCTGCTCTTCTGTCTTGTGCGCTCCCATGTGGCTCCATCTCTCTTGTTCTAAGTCTTCTTCTTTTTTGCTTAGAGGCATCAGGTCAATCCCAAAGCCTGTAGTCAAATCTATATCCCTCTAATTCAGTTAATCTAATTTTCTCTGATATGGTCACACTGCTGATCTCCACTAACTGGGTCCCTACAACTCTCTCTCCCGCCCACTCTGATTTCCTGCCATAATGCCCCGGAGGCCTGCAACTTTCCCACTTCTTCCTCTACAACACTTCTAAAAAGTAACTGTTAATCGGCAACGAATTTTGATCTGGCAAGAAGTTAATTATAAGCTATCAAAAGTACCAACTAATTGGTGGCTCAGTTGAAGGCGGGAATTTAATTCAAGGTAAATCACACTCTACCTTACATTATACTGTAGATGCCTCCCAGTAGTTTGATTTGTTTTAAATCACCGGTGGCAGTGGAAATGTGTCAGAGCCCATGTTATGTTTGTGTGCCTGCATGACTCTCCTCTCAGTTTACTGGCAATAAAAGCCTGGATGAAATCTCATCCCTTACAGGCATGCTTGCACCTGTTTGCTGATTATTATGTGTATTAAATTAACATTTTTTTGCAAGTCAACTCTCTTGTCGAGGGAAGTTGCTCACAGAGCTGCATCGCGTATATTCATATTAGATTCATCTTGCCATAATCTGACTCGAGTATAATTGCACTAGTCAGTATACCTCAGATGCTTCATTCCTGGATATTTATTAGCCTAAGCAACATCACACCCTTTATTAGACTCCACAGATCACCTATGTCAGCAGTCATAAGCTTGTCAGATTACAGCTTTTTGTGCTTGCAAAAGCTCTAACTCACATTTATATTTGACGCCATATAAGCTTGAATATTCTCAAAAAATATCAGCTACGAAAGATTCAAGGTCATAATTTTAGACCTTATTCAGAGTTTATAAATTGAAATCATTACTCAATTCATCTCATTTTCCAATTTAAAATTGTCTATTATTTTCCTTAAAAGCCTTGAACTTTAAATGTCTGCCTTTTTCTTGTATTATTGAAGAAAATGTCTATTCCCACAGCCTTTTCTATGGTTATGGGTTGTGTGCTTTCCTCCAGGGTGATTTTTTTTCTTAACGGTTTTCACTTAAATATTGTTATCACAAGAATACCGGCGTAAGCGAGTTGAGTTTTAACTTACGCATTTCTAAAATATTCTGTACAATAAACTTTTTATATCAGATGGTCGGTAGGTCTTTTTTCAGTGATTAAATGATGTTAGAGTACTACTTTTGTATTAAAACTATCAGAGATTGAGTTGTAGACATTAATGCCAGAACACAGAAGGAGACCCATATGATCTGGTTATCTATCAGGAATTGAAGTTAAAACGGTAGACCTCCTGTTGTCTGTTTTAGGCCTCCAGGTCACTGGGCTTTCTAACCCAGAATCAATTTACTTCTCTATTACATATGGTGCACACGCTGTACACACTTAGAATAAATTTGAAACGTTGTTATTTGCACCCATCTAGGTCCCCACTCAATTTTTTTTCCAAACGCTGGAATGTCAGGATATAGTACACTTTTAGTATGTATTGAATGACATTTTCCCATTTTCACATTGCTTTGTTCAACTGTCCTTTGACTCGCATTTCAGGTTATTTCTAGCAGCATAATCGTTTGACTTTACCTATACATATTTTCCTCCATCGCTACCTCAGTATTGTCACATACCATGTCCTCTCATGTGTAGAAGCTGCAGCCACCAATATGTTCTCCTTCCTCTCTCTCTCCTACTTCTCATTCTGCTCTCTTGACACTATACACCTTTCTCTCTCTCCTTTACCTCCATACATACACATGCTTGGGTCGTCTTTAGAGTCTCATCTAAAGCTTTGTGACCTCGGGATTCAAATTACTTCCAGTGAAACCACCACAATCTCCTGTTTTGTTATCTTTTTTTTCATTCTTAATCTTCTCTCCAACCGGTCCTACTTAACTCAAGATTAAGTTAGGACTTTTCTTCCACTTCTGAATTGTCAGCTGGAGATAGGGTATGTAGGTTAACATTATGGGTCCAACATTCGCGTCTTAATCACATTCCCAGATAGCTCAGTGGTTTTTTTTTTTTTTGCATCTTGTGGCCGTTTTAACACTGCTCTAGCAAGCTATCACAACATTTAACACCACTTGTTTTCATCCCTCTCTTCCACTCTCACCACACAGAGGGGTCTTTACTGAGGTGAGAATGCTAGTAATGTATTTTCCAGTCGTCAAAACTATTTCTTTAACCACTTGTATGCTGAATAAAGTGGGGTACAGTATGTGTATAATATATTTGCTTCTGCAATGGGGATTCTCTTTGGTCTCTGGATGGATACTTTTGCAGGGAAATCTGTCTGAAGAGAATCCCAGCAGTGGGGAAATGTTTACAGCTGAAAGAAGGGCCAAATTAAGATGAACCACTGGTAACTCTGTGACATCTACAGCACTGGACCTTCAGCTGACCTCCGTTAATGCCCATCCGGTAACTCCTTGGGGACACCTTGTAGCCACTCTACATGGATCCCGTTGGAACTCATGCTGTGGAGCTTGGGCATTTGGACATCTGGAGTGGCGAGATAAAGATGGAGGACAAGAATATTCTACCACGTAAGACATTCAATTCAGCTGAGATGCTTACGGGTTGGACCTTGTTTTAAATTTATTTATGATGGAACAGCTCAGGAAAGACATTTGAAAGGTGGTTGGGTGATTACTCAGACAGACTCTGACATGAAGGAGTTGCAGCTTGTTCATCGACTGACTGTGGCTGTGAACTGCCAAATGATCTTCAGTGATTTACACTCCACTTGGAATCACTAAATAGAGACACAATGGTAAAATGTGACAGTGTGCACAAGTCTTGCTAAAGTGTAAGAAAATTCTGTCCTTTTTAAATAAAAGTCCTAGCTTTTTTTGTGTCACATGAATGATTTTTAATTGTAGAAAAAGTTTTTTTTTTTAGTAACATCCAAGAGAGAGCGATAAACTGGTGAAATTTATCGTGAGTTATGACCAGCAAAACTTTGAATCTCTCCTGGTATATTTAACTACTGTACATGTATAAGTACTAATGTTATATCAGAACTAGAATTTTCTTCCTATGTTTTTAGTCGAGTGATTTTCAGTAAATGAATTTAAGTCTTTCCTGAAAGAAATGATTCACTAGACTCCTGCCTGTGGTTTACTGATCGTTACACATATTAAATCATTGAGATTTAGAGCCAGAAGTGGCATGAAGTTGCCCTGCGTGGAAACATTAATTAATCATTTTACACACTGTGAAAAATTGGTTATTGCCAGAGGTTATGTACTGATAAGAATTGTGTCTTGCAACAAAGCCGTATGACTCTCTGCGGTTACAGTTTTAATGTGTTTGCGGCAACATTATCCAAGTGTGGTTTAGGAGTAAGGACACATTCCTAGCATCGTTCTTTCAGCTTGTCTCATAGACTGAACATTGTGGATTTAAAGATGAATAAGCAGGATTTTTTCTTCCAGGTTTTGCAAACCTGAGTTCTGAATGGAATTTGTGCAGGATGTAACTAACCAACCTGCTGGACAATAGTGCTGGAGAGAAGAGGGTATTTAATATCACAAAGCTCGAGGCAAGCGGTGACATGATGGCAATTTTTCTTTCTTTGCTACAATACGGTGGCTACAATTAACTCATGGAGTGTTTCTGCAAAGCATGGATGACAACTGAAATTTCACCATACCTGGTGTGGGTCATGCAGCCACAGGGGAATGAAGAGTGGGCTCTACAGTAGGGAAGTGAGCAGATGGGGCAGAAGATGAGCACTGAGCCTTTTGCTCGCTCTGAGTGTTTGGACAAGCTCAGGAAGGGAGCTCACAACGGGAGAGGAGCAGTCCACTTTGTTTCCAACACACCGTATTTATTATCCTGGGAGCCTCTGTGAGTAAAATATTTACCAAAAAAACCAAAAACATTATACTTAATGCCTCAACCATTAAACTTACATACATGACAATGATATGACCATCCACTGCTCTTCTATTCTAAACATAAACTTTGAAGGTCAGTTTAAACGAGGTTTGATTAAAAAGACGTTGTCGGAAATTTTTCAGTCCTGTTTCAGCATGTTACAAAAGGGCCGAGGGTTACAAAGGTCTCTACAGTTCTACTTCTGAATCGGCTGGGGTACCCAGTTCTATCACTATGTTTCTATTCCGCCATTCAATTTTCAATAACTGAAAAACAACTTAGAGGAATGTTTGAAGTGGCAGGCCAACAGAGGTGACACAAAGCCTCACAGGAGAACAGTTCACTGGGAGTATGTGTTTGCTAATAGGTGTGTAAGCCAGCGAATGAGCATATGTTGCTGAAATGTGCTGCATCTACTTTTTCCTTTTGTGAAGCATTGAAGAAGGGGTTGATTTTGGAGCAAAGCATTTTTGTTAAACTGTTCTTGCTTTGTTTTCTCTATTTTTTTCGCCGTTCCCAGTAATCTCTTAAATGTTACTTGATGGTCATCTCTAGACTCATCGGCTCTGCAAAGAGGGTGTGTTCAAAGTTCCTTCACAGTCTCTCTGGTTGGCGTTTTCTCTCATTACTCAACAGATCTACTCGCTCCACATCACTGTGTCCACTTATTTTTTAAAGTTTGCCTACACTTTGGACTCTTGATTGATTCTTCACAACCACTGTGATTATCAGTAGAGGGTTCATGATCAGATCTCCTTTTCGTTTGCGTTTTTTGCACAGGGAGATCTCGCTAAAAAGAAAATCTACCCAACTTTGTGGTGAGTAGAGAATTGCTTCTCATACACAGGTCGAAGGCGAGAGTTGCTTTGAAGTTGTTTGACTACCCTGTGTTATGAGGAGTTTGACCCTTGGCTGGTGTTCTGTATCACTGCTTTTGACTCTGGTCCTGCTTTAGGTGGTTATTCAGAGATGGCCTCCTCCCAGATGACACCTACTTTGTGGGTTTTGCCCGGTCTAACTTAACCGTGGAGGACATCAAGACAGCATGTCTGCCTCACATGAAGGTAGTACGTCCCTGTATGCTATCTGAGACGAGATTATTAATTGTTTGGGGAGTGTTTCCGTGAATCATCGCACAACATTTCTTCAGGTCACTGATGAAGAGAGTGAGTGTCTCTCAGCCTTCTTCAGTAAGAACTCCTACCTGAGCGGCAGGTATGACGACGGCGGCTCCTTCGACCAACTCAACACCCATCTGTCATCTCTGCCTGGGGGGGGTGATGCCAACCGACTCTTCTACCTGGCTCTGCCACCTACCGTCTACCACCATGTCAGCACAAACATCAGGGCCCACGGCATGAGCCACAAGTAAGTATCCTCCGGTCCGTAAAAACAACGGTTGACATGTTGTTTGATTGCGTGGTGCTGATCAGCTGTTTGTAAAACAGAGGTTGGAACAGGGTTATTGTTGAGAAGCCGTTTGGTCGTGACCTCCAGAGCTCACAGGAGCTGTCAGCCCACCTGTCCTCCCTGTTCACAGAGGACCAGATCTACCGCATTGATCACTACCTGGGCAAAGAGATGGTCCAGAACCTCATGGTGCTCAGGTAACACGCTCCATACACACATTTCCAAGCACTTTACCACCGGTATAAACCTAAACATTGTCATATATGAGGTTTTATGCTCTCACCTCCAGGTTTGGAAATCGCATCTTTGGACCAATATGGAACAGGAACAGCGTGTCCTGTGTGGTTCTGACCTTTAAGGAACCTTTTGGCACTCAGGGCCGCGGAGGATACTTTGATGACTTTGGTATCATTCGGTGAGAGACGTTACATAAAGTTCAAGGTGAAAACACTGGATACAGTGTCATTGTCACACCAGAGCCTGATTCCAGCCCTGTCTCTCTAATAGAGATGTCATGCAGAACCATCTCCTCCAGATGCTCTGTTTGGTTGCAATGGAGAAACCTCCTTCCACCAGCCCCGATGACGTGAGGGATGAAAAGGTAATACAGATGGTTGGATACCAGGATTTTTTTGTCTTCAATAGCAAGATCATCCACATCATTACAACCTTTTTGTCCTGTGTTTTTTGATAATGCTGCAGGTGAAGGTATTGAAGTGTATAGCTCCCGTTGCAGTGCCAGATGTGGTGCTCGGCCAGTATGTGGGGGACCCTGAAGGGGAGGGCCACTCCAAGCTGGGTTACCTTGATGACCCCACCGTACCAAAAGGCTCCTGCACACCAACTTTTGCCACTGCAGTGCTCTACGTTCAGAATGAAAGATGGGATGGTGAGGCTAAATGTTTTTTTTTTTTTTTTAAATCCCTCCTCCTTGTTTATGCTCTGTTTTATGGCAGCTCGTCATGTTTTTCCACCCTTCATGTCTGTCCTTGCACCATCTGCCCGTCCATCAGGGGTTCCTTTCATTCTGCGCTGTGGTAAAGCTCTGAACGAGCGGAAGGCGGAGGTGCGTCTGCAGTTCACCGACGTGCCAGGAGACATCTTTGGTGAGCGCTGTCAGAGGAACGAGCTGGTGGTGCGGGTGCAGCCGGACGAAGCCATTTACCTGAAGATGATGACCAAGAAGCCAGGGGTTTACTTCAGCCCACAGGAGACTGAGCTGGACCTCACTTACAGGAGCAGATACAAGGTGCTACAGGCTCACTTGACTCATAGTCTCCATTGTGGCCCATCATTCAGGCCTTGAAATATATATATATGTATATATTTTTTGTACTGTCAACTATTTGTGTTGAGATAGTATCAATTGATCCTTGAAGTAAGTTACAGTTTATCATGTCAGCATAATTCCTATCATGTCCAAATAAAGGCCTGCCAAGCTGGCAACAATACAATTATATGACAGGTTAATGCAATGATAATAATAATAATAATAATAATAATAATAATAATGATGATGATGATGATGATGATAAATTTTATTCATATATCACCTTTCAAAAGCAATGTTACAAAGTGCTTTACAATAAAAACAGAAATGCAAATAAAAAAAAATCCAAACTAAAGTATAAAATAAAAACAAGTCAATAAAATGGCCATGCAATAAATGTGAGTCTTAAGAAATGATTTGACAGAAGATACAGAGCAATGTTCCCATTGATGCTGCGGTGCATCATTCAACAGAGGTTTATATAGACAGGAACATCTTCCAGTATCTACCAGCAGAAAGATTACCTCAGGGAAGCTTACTGGGTTAAAACACTGTAGATGATTGAACCTGAAATAAGCATGTCTGTAGTTTTTTTAACAGCTGCCACCTTCCTCTAGAATGTGAAGCTCCCAGATGCTTATGAGAGACTGATACTAGACGTCTTCTGTGGAAATCAGATGCACTTTGTCCGCAGGTTGGTAAAACCTTTTTTTTTTCTTAGATCATGGTCTTCGTATTTTGTTTGAATGTGTGTTTTATTCATTGGTTTATTGATTTTGACCTGAACTCTCCCTCTTCCTGTCGCAGTGATGAGTTGCGGGAGGCCTGGAGGATCTTCACCCACCTCCTTCACCAGATAGAAGGAGAGAAGACAAACCCCATACCTTACACATATGGAAGGTAACATCAGTTGTATTAGACGCAAATAAACACATGATGCACATTATCCTTTAAAGTGATTAAGTTTCTCTTCCAACGGTCTTCCATTTGTTGTGTCCACAGTCGCGGTCCAAGCGAGGCAGACGATCTGATGAAGAGGGTGGGATTTCGCTATGAGGGAACATACAAGTGGGTGCAGCCCCACACAGCATGATGCCCTCTGTCACACACATGCACACACACTCTCACATACTCACGAACACATTAACACCAACGTCACAAAGTTTACAGACAATAAAGTTTACTGCAGTCATCTCTGTGCCTTTGTTTGATTTTGATTTCTCTGTCCGTCTTTTTTGATCCCTAATCATACAAGAAATGGACGTGGAAATAAACATAAGTGTAACAGCATGATTTGAGTTTTCACTTGTAAATCTAAATAAATCATCATTCACTCCTCTGCCTGCACTTTTATCTTTTTTTTTTTTTTTTTTTTTAAACACCTAAACACCTTTAAACACCTAATACTTTGTCCTTGGAACATATGAGACTTGTAGAGCAGGAGAATCAGTTATGTAAGTAGAGACTTTACTTACATAACTGGTTCTTGTTAGATCCAGTGAGTGAAGGATCAATATTTAAACTCACTTGAATGTTAAGAGTATCAGCTTGTTATGTGCAATCAGCAGGTCAGTGTTTATAGTCATCACTAAACCATGACACTGAGCGTGATGCGCATAAAGCAGCCACACCAAGTAGTGTTTATACCAGGAAGGCTTGTTGGTCTGGTTTAAACAGGTGGATCTCTTAATCACAGTCAGTCATGAGGGAGGCACGTTTAAATGTCCCGTCTCAGTTGAGAATGACTTCCAGGTAAGTGTTTTGTGCTAAAATCAAATAAAAAAAAAAACTGTGGATAACTGTTAATAACATTTTGTAAAGACTCATCTCTCACAATGTCTGTCAACGTCACAACTTCAATTTGCTTTTTAACTAAATTGCCTTCAACTTCCTGCAGCAGACTGTTTCTTACCACCTATGTCTGTCTCTGCCAGGTGCGCGGCCTAGCTGGGAAAACACACACACACACACACACACACATGCACGCACACAAACGCTCACTCTGATCAATCATAAACTACTCCATCCTGCCAGGACCTGGAGGGCCGTGGGAAGTGCCGTAAAGACGAACATTTGTTTAAACAACTTCTCTGAAACTATTGCATTTGTTCCTCTGTGTGCTCTGTCATTCACTGTAGGCAGTAATCAAATAATGGACTTTCAGTTTAGTTTGGATGGAACTAAAAATAAAAAAAAAAACTGTTACTACTGCACACTTGTTTATGTCCAAAACAAAGGAAGCTGTTTGTGCTGATAAATCTAATGCTGGCAACAATAAAGCATAAAAAGAGTCAGATCAGTCTTTTTATTGTATAAAGACACTTTTTGTGTGTCATTTACCATGATTTTATTCTCTAGAACCTCAAGTGAAAATGAATAAAATGTACATAAAAAAAGCTGCATACACACAATGTATACTGTGTTGGACTGAATAAGTAAAAAAAACCTGCACTTCAGGTAAGTGTTTATAGTGTTTGAAGGAGTAGTATTGAACGCACACACACTGATTTAAGAATAAATAATCTTTCTTCATCATTGCAATGAGAAAAACCTATGAAAGTACCTTAAATATTAGGAACTCTTTGGCCATGACAGGCCGCATGTCTGTAAATTCCAAACCCAAAGCCTTGCCTCCCTCTTTCTCTCTTAGGTGAGACTATTTGTGTAGGATGCATCTCCTTTCACACTTGTCACGTTCCTCACTGCAGTGTTGCGCGGCTGTGCCATCCTCGATGCCCCTGGCATACAGACGCACCAGCTGGCCATGAATCCTGAGAGGGGGAAGTCCACGCGGTTAAAAACTGTGCCACGATTCATTCAATTTAATCAAACACATGATCACAGTGGGAGGATGATACGGTCTGAGATTGCACCAAATAAAACTCGCGTACCTGCAGAGGATCTCGGTGAAAGGCAGAATCTCTCCGTCACAGTTCCACACTGACACAGAGGGAGATTTACTGCAGCACAGGCCGCACAGAAAGGGATTCGCCGTTTTCTGCTCGTTTGTCATTTGTCGCCCCGTGTCTCTCTCCGCCAGGTGCTGCTGAGAGCCGCTCCTGCTTACAGTCTCCACGTACCCTCTCTCCTCTTCCTCTATCCCACCGCTCTGCCCCACAATCTCTTCATACGCTTCCTCCTCTTTTCCAGAGGGGACGGAGAAACGAACAGCCTTCACTCTGTGGACCTCCACAAACGGCAGGTCAAACTAAGGAAAGGAGATTTGGGTGAAGCAGTTTGTAAACTTCCTGGTCCTGGCTTTGTTTTACTGTGAAAGTGCCCGTACCTGGTCCTGTGTGCTCGTGTGCCTATAGAGGAACTTGAGGAAGCCCAGCGGGTGAGTGTCCCATACCAGGATGAGGTCTCCTGTTCCGTCCGCCAGGTGAGCAGAAGGAGAGAGGCCCAGAGGGCTCCTGGGACATGAGCTGGACATACAAGTGAGAGACACACACCTGAACCTGCCCTCCACACTCACCCACTCGCCTGGGGAGATAAGAGAAGAAGAGAGACGATGATCCCTGCACCTACTGGACATCCCTGATCATTCTTAAAGGACCATTCTGCTGTTTGTGCACATGAACCTTTTGGAATTAACCAGCTTTTCTGCATTTATTGGTCATAACATTAGTTCTGATGCTCATCTAGACCACAAGTGTAGACAAACACTATGTGCTTAAGCTAATAACACACAAGCAATTACAATCGTTGGCATTTTTATTGAACATGCCCATGAAACATTTACAGTGCAGGTGGAAAACCTGAAAACTTGGATTTATGCTGCTGATCAGCTGATCAGACCTGCACAAAGCTCAAGAGGAGTTCTGGACCATTCTTACAGAACTGCTCCAGCTCAGTGTGAACGACTCTCTTCAGCTGTGATTATTTTAAGCCTTTGGCTGTTACTCTGAGGTTCTTCTTTACCTCATTGATCATCCTGTGCTGTGCTTTTGGTCATCTTAGTCATCTTAGCTGGATGTTCACCAGGGAGAGTTGCCACAGACCTACAGTTTATCATCTCCATTTAGAGATGGTTTGTCTAACTAAGGACTGATGAATATCTGAACTCTCTGAGATGACTGTAACCCTTTCACATTTGTGCAAATGTTTGAATGATGTATTCAATATGGACAAGAACCATAAAATGATTTCTGTTATTAGTTAAAATAACCTGTGTTCTGACCATATTCTAAGAAAATAACAAAACAATGTTTTTTAAGATAAATTTATACACAAAAGCAGGTTATTCCAAAGGGTTCACTTACTTTTTTCTTACGGCTTTACTGCTCACTATTTTTCAAAACAGGCTTTACTGGTTTAGATTCTTTCTGATTGTGTTCTTTATCTTTCAGGCAACCATTGGTTTATGTTAGCATTGCTGTGATTGTTTGTCAGTGTTGCAGTGTTGTGTGGTCATGCAATCCAGACAGTTCACATCTCTCTATGCTTTCAACTGCATTACCCCAAAAAAATAATGGAATAACTTTTTTTTAATGAGATGATAATAATTGTGATTTGTTGCATATTTCAATAAAGTTTCAAATCTCTGCAAGTTGTTTACACGCTGAAAACATACAGTATACTTTGTGTGTGGGCAGTACTGTAAAGGAGTTGGATGGGGACTGTCCAAAGTGGTCATGAGAAGGTTAATAGGAGATGGGAGTAGAAAAATCATATTTCTGTTCCATTTTTTTTTTCACATTTTCTAATCCTTACATGTTTTTTTGTTACGTCCTGGATAAATAATAAAATTAATAAATAAACACATAAAATAATCTTAGAAGGAAGAATGACACTGTTGCAAGTGTGCGACCTGATAAGCAGTTGCAATTAGACATAGCTTCGTTTTAAGGGGTCACAAGCCAAAGAATTTTAATAATACTACTTGATTTGTGCTAACTGAGCTAAAACATACGAAACACAAATGCAAGACTTTCATACGTGTCTGTGTTATTACCTTCTGAGTCACTACTGAACTGGCTGAGGTTGGAGCTGTACAGGGATCCTGAATCTGCGGCGTGGGGGAAAAGTCTTTCTGTGCTTCTGGAGCACACACTGCACCTACACACACGCACACACGCACACACGCACACACACACACACACACAACACAAAGGGTTTCACTCTGCTTGAAGTCTGTGAAATAACTAGCTCCTCGCCCTTGAGACTCAGTCATAAGAGCATCATAAACTATTTGCTGACAGTTGCCTCCGAGAAAGACCGAGGCACTGTACACTCTAACAAGAGACCATGGCTCACCTTTCATCTAGATCAAGTTCCTCTTGCCATGGTTTCTACCCTTCTTAAGGTAAACCCAACACCTGAGTCCCTGCTACAGGTGGTAGCAGTTACCGGTCTCAAACTGTGAATTTGCGCTTGAATAATAAGGATACTATTCCCAGGCACACTTTCTCCCTTCCTCATTAATCATCATTTCTTGGAGCTCATATGTTACTATGGGCTACTACTGTTATTATAAAGGATGAGTCACTTGGGCAATTATAAGAGTCCCAATTGCCATAAACAAAACTGAGACTCATGGGGAGACATTACATAAAAACATGATTGTGTCACATCATGACAAAATAAAGAAGTAGAATCTGCACAGCAGATAAACACTCCCACAAACCCAGAGAGTCGCTGTTTGAAGGTTTTATGGTGATAAAACATCACCCACATCAGAAAATATGTATGGAAGTGTTATCGTGAGTGTCTCTGTTGTGTATACAGCCTTTTTATGTAATTTCTTGTGAATGGTTTTACCCTGAGAGGCAGCGTGTTTTATCTCTGGGGCTGGAGAGCAGCGGGTCTGCGGGCAGATACTGAACTATGCCTGCATAGCTTCTGTTGCTCAGGTACACCATCGTGCCTAGGCAAAGGAGAGCACTCGGGTTAGCTGAAAATGCACAAAGCTTGGTGTATATACAACATTTTAAAAAAGAAAAAAAACTCAGGGGAATGTGATTTGTGACAAAACAACAAAGGCATGCATCAGATGAAGCTGTCTCATCTTTATCGTAGCGACGCCAGTGATAGTTTCAGGATGACTTTCTATGTCAAGAGCTAAAAATAAATACAGACTATCTAACAGCATCTAATGTAATATTTTCTGAATGAATCATCAGTCCATACCTGAATAGTCATATCTGAGAGGTCCCATCCAGCGGTGCTTTTCACTCTCTGCCAGCACGTCCCCATAGAAGCCATAGCCCACCAGAGACACAGAGTAGCGCACCAGAGTAGAGGCATGATGAACTGAACACACATCCAAAGGCTGAGAGTCTCCTGCAAGGCATTGTGGGAAATGAGTAGCTCAAAGCTGACAAAATTGTTTAGCTATGTTCATATGTTGATTTCTAAAATGAACAAATGATGATTAAAAGAATGTTCTATTTTAATGGAAATACTTCCTCACCAATGACAATGTGCAGAGCTGAAGTGACAGGGTCGATCACTCCCACTGTGGCATAGCACACACAGTCTGTAGAACCTGCAGTAGATATAACACAACAGGATGTGTGCATCACAGCTCCAAAATCTACCTCCAGCCACTTTATGAATTCTTAATAACGGTGTCATTACCTGCAGGAATGATGCCAATATGAAGCGGACAAGGCTGTAATGTGACAGCGGGATCGTTCTCACAAAGGCCTGCCTCTTGTTGAGTCCGCCCGATCAAACCGTGAAGCATTTCACTGAACATGCCATCCCCACCCACACACACCACACTATTATAAACAAACACATAAGAGTTTCTGTTGTGAAAGCACCTCCCAGCGGGGTTAGCTCTTATAATGCTGTCGTGCCACGGTGTTTACACTAGCTCTTACCCGTCAAAGCCCGTCAGGTCTTTCTTCAGGAGGTGGTCTCTGGCCTGGTTTGCCCGCTCAGTCACTAAACAATACATGATTACATTCACACTGCAAATCCATTTCAATCATTTTAAATTAAGTAGGTCGGTGAAATGCCACCTGTCAGACATAAATACGCCTTCAACCGGAGGAGCATCAAGCACCTGCACCATCAGTCTTTGCATCAGTAACTAATTCAACTTTTCTTTAAAAGAAATGTTGCACAGTTTTGTAGATTTTTACCTATTACATGAGAGCTGATACCAGCCAGCTCAAACAGAGGGGCAACCAGAGAATGGTAGATCTTTCTTCCCTTCTTCTTTCCTCCAAAGGGGTTGATGAACACCAACAGTCTGTGTGGGCGCAATGGACCTGAAATATACATTTAAAACATTACGTGCTCTGACGTGCAGCACAAGGACGATCTGAAAACAATGAATCATTAACAGTCGTATCGTGTCATATGCAGAGGACATTTAAGATGTAATGTCAGATTAGTGTCTTGTCTCATTTTCCACCCTTACTGTGCGTTTTTAGAGCAGTCCTTAGATGTTTCGTCCACTGGTCTCTGAGGACCCGACTGGGGCAGCTGAACTGGGTCCGGCCCAGTCTCCATAGCAACCCAGAAGAGCCCCCGCTGCTGCTGCGCTTCACATAGAAAACTAAGGGTGGATGGTACAGTAGATAGAGAAAAGAAACCATGCTGTAAAACCACACATTTGACTAATATGCACTTTTATGTAAATTATTAACGTTTTCATCTCAGCATGAACAGCGAACGATGTGCGGTGCTTCAGGCTGTGCTGTTATTTACTTTAGCATTGACTGTGGCCTTGGGTTTGTGATACCTGAGAGTCTTCCACGAGAACCCACCTGTGAAGTCTTTGTCTTTATCCTCAACCGATTTCTGGGGCAGGATCTCCACCCGGCCCTCCTCCACTCCAACCACCTCCGCCACAGGTACTGAGACTTTAATCACACCGACAAACACACAGTGAAAACCTCAGTGGACATGCTTCTATGCATACAGATAATAGAATATTTTAACCGCTGGGAGGTCTTCCTTACAGCAGATATTTTTCACTTATGATAGCATTTAAAGAAAGTGCAGGTGTAACTAAAGACATTAGTAATGGCTGTACCCTTATTAGCGGTTCTAATTTGACATGCCACAGTTAGAAATTTCAATAATGAAGTTGTGGCCAAATTCACTTTAGCTGCTTCAGTCTCAGGGTCCGGGTCCTGTCACACTATCATGGCTCACTGGGACGTTTGAACAGAACAAGAGCTTGTTGGTGTAATTAGTAACATCGGTGGTTTTCCTTGTATGACTGGTGTGAAAAAGGCCCTTTGTGTGTGTTGGCTCCTCGGCGCACCTAAAGGGAGTGGGACCATCCCCATTATTATTAGTTACACATGTCTAACTTAAGCCTTAGGAAAGCTCTGGTAATGAAAATAAAGTAATGGAGCCAAGATTTTTTTTTACAGTTACTGGACTGTGTAAGAGTGATTTGGATGATACATAATATGATTGTGTAAAGTGTGTAAAACATCTTTGTGACTTCTTTGGGTCGGTGTTTTAGTGTTATTGATTTTCAACATAGTCAAAGACCTGTTCTGTATATTGTGTTAAAATCTCAGCAGTATGTTGTTTTGACAGGGTGAAGCACATAATGGACCACACATAATGTTTCTCTGTGCAGAAGGGACAGATTCCAGGGAACACTTCCGTTTTTACATCAACACTTCTGTCCCCTCTGTGTGTACATGTGTGTTGCTGACACAGAAGCAGAAAATGCACATTGGAGACAATTGGTTTCAGAAAAATAAATAAGTTTGAAAGTGATGTGAAAACCCCTATATTAAAGGCCTGAGCCTTGTGTGTGTGTGTGTGTGTGCGTGTGTTCTCTCCAGCCTTTGTTTTCAGTAAACTGTCTCAGCAGCTTGCCTTTCATGATGGTGCTGTTCAACTTGTTCTTCACGTTTTCTGCACGCAGCTATGAGCTTAATTAAAGCGCTCCCTCCCTGTAACAGTCAGAAATAATAGGAGCGTGATAAAGACTGTTTTGTTTCGGATGTTTCTAGGCTCCTTCCATCTAATGAAAACGGTCTTGTCTGTCATCAGTTCCGTGCAGATAGGAAATAAGTTGTGGCGTTTAACAAAGTGTTGCGCACCAACAACACGTTTAATGGGCGCATTTGTTATTGCCATACACGCACGTAACTTCACTAAGCGCAGGAAAACAATGGGAAGTAATAACACTGCGGATGTTTTTGTGTTGCTCTTATTTACGCTGTGTCAACAGGTGTTAGAGATGGACTGATGTTATGTAGAGAACGGAGCCACCTACTTGTTTTCTTATCGCGATTCTTCTTATCTACCTCGGTCCAGTTGAAATGCCAGCCTGTCAGGACTGCCCGGTATCTCTTACTCCCGACCCACAGACTCGACTCCAGCCTCAGGTCTGTCTCCATCTGGGAGAGAAAGCTGCTCTCAGTCGCAACGTCGCTCTTTCCCGCTTCTCAGAAAACTTTTAAAGTCACATTTTTCTTTTTTTTACACCGTAACTTTTACATCCCTGAGGGTTGCCAATCTGACCTCGCCATTTAACAGCTCGGCGGTGTCTTTATCTGACACGGGAAAGTCTGCATCTTCCTCTCAGTGAAGCTGAAGAGCTTTTTATTCGCCACATGGGTGTTATTCTCAACATGTTTCCACCGCAGTCCCTCCCTGGTGACACCTGCTCGATTTGCATGTTGCACTGCTGGTTGGATACCAGTGGTTTAACTGAAGTATAGCACGCCAGTATCCGAGTGCCTGTTGTGACTGTAAGAGAATGGAAATTGTCACATTGAATAATAAACAATATATATACTGTATATATATATATAGGCATGGTGTGATGAATAGGATAAAGTGACAGGTGATATCTCTAAGCAAACTTAGTTGTGAAAACCATACAGGTACAGAGAAAGTAGATTTAAAAGTTGAGAATTACTAATATTATTTATTTTTTTATTTTTTTTAAATGTGGTCCTTTTTCTCTCATCTTTCTAATTTTTATTCCTTGTCCTTGAACTTAACCTACATTTTCCAAGGATCTGTACTTTTTTTATTCATCATTTCAGTGGAGTTTGCTTCACAGACAGATTTCAACGGTTCATTTGTTGCTCAGTTTAACAGTTATAAAGCCAAAGGATGTGAAACGCAGGCGTCCACTTCACATTCAACCAGTAAGTAAAAAAAAACACAGCAACAGTAATAAAATCTGATGAGGGAAAAAACGGGGGAAATTCCAACCTCTCACCTGATCCACCAAAAGATTTCCAAATGACAACAAACCGAGGGGCTATTAATCTGTACTAATCAGATTAGTCTGTTTTTTGTCTGGGTTTTTGTTTGTTTGTTAGTTTGTCAGAGTTTTAAGACTTAAACTTGAGTCAGAAGTGAAGTCACAAAATTAGGCCTTCACTCGACTTGGACTTGACCTTTGTGTCACCTCTTTAAGATTTGACCAGTTACAGAAAGCAAAAACATTTGATTCTTAAATTTTGACGTGGTAATTTCAGAACTGCTAAAATTAAATAAGGCTGATCTTTAAAAAGAAAATATTCAAATACTTTGTCATTTTAATGCTCAGCTTTGAGAAACCTGAAAGACGTGTTGTTTATGCCCTGCTCTGACTGAAAGGCTTTGTGATTGACCGGTCACCTGTTTAGTGAACACATTCCATGTAAAGGGTTTGCAACATGTAACTTCCTGCAATGACAGCTGGCCACATTATGTCGAAGGTCAAGTCAATTATAGTGCCAAATCACAGCAGAAATGATGTCAAGGTACTTTTGAAAAAGCGCAGGTATGGACCGCTCTCATTATAATATTGATTACAAAAAGCCAACAACAATTCCCAGCAATCATAAGGATGATGATGATGATGATGATGATGATAATACTATTAATAATAATAGTTTATAATAGCAGGTGTTGAGCAGGATTATGGGGGTGGTATGTGGTTTGCAGTCGCAGGTCTGGAGGCAGGAAGACCTGGAGAGACGGAAGGGAGAAGAAAGAGAGAGGCACACAGCCTTGGACGCTCATGTACTAGAGGGAATAAACAAACAGAATGATGCAGTGAGTTTCAGAGAGTTTACAGTAATCTCGTCAGCAGGACAACCCGGACTATACTGTTGGTTTAACTGATTTATTAAGACTGAGGCCGACCCGCCGCTGGTAGAATAGAATCACGTACAAAGCCTAAAGTTGTGAAAGAATGAAAAGCTAACTGAAAGTTAAGGCCTAAAGATGAGTAGTAAGTTTGGATTTGAAGGCCTCAGTGGAGTCAGACAGTCTGATGTCAGCAGGGAGGTCGTTCCAGAGGAAGGGGGCATGATAGGAGAAGGCTCTGCAGCCAGCAGACGACTTTTTAACACTGGGGACAGACAGGAGCAATAAATTCTGGGAACGCAGAATGCCTCTGTATGACTTGCTTTGGTTGTTGTTAATTCACCTGCAAAAGTTCTCTGATAACCAACAACTGTCTGCCTCATCACTGATGGACATGACAGGGAATACAGAGAACTGACCCAGGACTTTGTGGACTGGTGCCAGCGGAACCACCTCCAGATCGACGCTGGGAAAACCAAAGAGCTGGTGGTGGACTTCGGCAGGTGCTAACACGCTCCCCAGTGAACATCCAGGGAATGGACATTGAGATCATGGATTCTTACAAGTACCTGGGTGTTCACCTGAATAATAGACTGGACAGGACTTTATAAAAAAAAAAAAAGGAGAGAGCAGACTCTATCTGCTCAGGAGACTTAGGTCTTTTGGAGTACAGGGGGCACTCAGCCACTTTCTATGCTGTGGTCTGCTGGGACAAGAATAGACTGAACAGACTGAAGGCCGGCTCTGTTCTGGGATGCCCCCTTCAGCCGGAACATCTCCCACCCCATGCAGGACACTCTGAGGGCACGGAGCGGCTGCTTCAGGGACACGCTGCTGCACCCGCTGTGTGAAGGAGAGATACTGCAGGCCTTTCCTCCCAGCTGCTGTCAGACTGTGTAACTAATACTGCACTCAGTAGAGCACACACACCAAAAACTGACAAACTCACCATGTGCAATAATTCAGTTCATACTGAGATATAAACAAATTAAAAATAATTCACCAATAATAATTGTGGAGGATGTTTTTCTCTGTTAAAAGGCACTAAATTCTGTATATGAGAAACAGTGAAAAGGATTCAAGTGGAATGTTCAGTCCTTAAAGCTCCTTCCTTCTTCTGTAAAGTCACAAACTACTAAGGGAAACTTGACTTATTTTTGCTGGACAAAAAGATCAAGATGCAATTAGTTAATAACTACTAATCCATCTATGAGCTGTGAGAGATTTTATCCTGATTATGACACAACTGCTGCTACTTTTAAAATTGAAAATCTTAATAACTATTAATCAGTCAGTAATAACTGCTAACAGGACTTTTTAAGATCTTTATGAGATTAATTATTAGGAGGATTATTGTTATGTTTTGTAGATTCTCTGCTGTTTCTTATGCAACTACCACAGTATTTTTTAAAGCTGCTACAAATAGTACTAGTACTGCTACTCATGAATGAATTAAATGTTCCATCAAATACAGTACATTTCTCAAATAAGTGCAGGCTGTGAGATTCATACAGTAAATTAACATGATCAGAGCACTTTAAAACTGTGCACTGCTGACTTCTAGTGGCTGGAGTCACAGTAACATGCTATGACATACATCTAATACAAGTTTTAACTTGCTCATCAGTTAGCATACTGACATTATTCACTTCAAAATCCACTTAATGGAAAATGGGAACTTTGTATTCAGAAACAGAAAACTCTTCAGATATCTTCTGTCATTATACTGACATATGAACTGAGGAAAGACCTGTTGGAACACTGTCAGAAGCCCTTTTTCTCTGTCATTAAGTTATGACAACTTTGACTAAATAGATAGAATTACTTTTGAATAGTTTAAAGTTTAAGGAAAGAGTTGAAAAGTGAGTATTTTCTTCTATTAAATTAAAAAAAAAAGATTTTCAAAGTGTCAACAATACCAAATACCTGAAAGACTTAAATTGCTTACACACTAAGAATGAATAACTAAGGAATGAAAGAGTTAAAACTGATCTAGATAACAAAGACTTAAAACCTATCTTCATGATGAAAAGAGTTCAAACTTGTCAAGAGTTAAAGAATGAAAGAGTTAAGATTTACATACACACCTCCACTCCACTCTTCCACGCTTCTATCCACAACTCTCCTCATACAACCATGTCGGTTTCTGAACAGGAAAACGTGGAATTACAGGCAAAACCAATAAATCTCAACAACTTGATATGATCTGACTGGGCTGTCATGGCAACAGTGGGCAGGTAGAAGTCTAACCGACAGGATGTGAGGGAAGACAGCTCAATCTCCTGTGGGCAGATGTCTTGTCCTGTATAATGCTTGGGCTGCAAGGCCTTTAGGTCTTTACCATCCTCCCGTGATTATTGATTATCAAAATCTTACTTTAAGATTATCTCTCTGCTGAGCGAGGTGCAGAGCAGCGAGCTGAGATACACTTCAGTCTTTTGTGAACTTCCAGGCAGGAGCTGTTGGACCCTGTATTCTCCCAGGACGGGACACAGAGACAATCTGCCTCCCACCGTGTCCCCAGCAGGTGCTTCATACATCTAATCCTCACACGGCCAAACCTCACAGATCAGCGGAGCTTCATTCAAAGGGATGGAGGTTGGAGACATATCTAATATCTCCACTGACTTCCACATTAAAACTGTAGGTGACATCCTTCAGGCTAAATGCAAATAAGCTGTTATGTATAGTAACAAAAGAAAACTCGACCCTTTGTCCATAATCCAAATCAAACTTGAAACAAACTTGAAATCAAAAGGCTACTGATGTCTTTTCTTGCGGGTTCTTTATCCTTGTCAAGCAAGTAAACAACAGAAGAAAGAAATCACAGCTCCTGCTGCCTCGTTTGCTCTGGTAAAAAAATAAAAGATGGACCCTCCCAGGTGCATGCTGGTCCTGCCTAACTCTAGAAAAGCTGAGATACTTGAAGTGCTGCCCAATTCTTACAAACCAAATCAAAATACACAAAATCAGCTAAATAACTTGCTAAGCTAACCAAATGAAACAAAAAATTACTAAAATATAATATTAAATGTAAATTAAAATAAAAAAATAATTAAAAAAATATAAATGTATCTAGTCTAAATAGAACAAATATCTAAAAAAAAAACAAATTGCAATGCTGTTTCCTTTTATTCATCCTTATAAATATAATTGAATTTGTGTAACACTTGGGCTGAGAGTCTCCTTTCAAAACATTTTGTTGTTGAAGATAGTGTTACAGGTCAAAACGAGGGTAACTGTGTAATGCATTAGTGTAGACTCTGAGGAATTGATGATTAATAATGATTTGGGTCTTTTTTAGCTTATCATAATCTTTGTTTTTGTTCTTCTTGGAGTGATTTTATTGAGCAACAGTAGATCTGCTGAGCATGAATGTCCTGTTACACACTCACACAGACTTGATGTCATCAATGAGAGAGTTTCAATGTCTACATTTATTGGGTAACTTAAGATCTCTCACAGGATGATGAGCTTTTCAGCCTGTTGTACACTGTAACTTGTTGTGTCCTGTTTGTTCCAACATCACAAACCTGACACAACAGTTTTCTGCCACATGTGCTTGTGAGGCTTGATTTTCCTTATATGAACATATATGTAGCAAGTGTGATCACTGAGGTTATGTGCAATTACACTTACAATCATTTAAAAACATAATTGATATTAAAGCACTACATAAAAGATAATATTCCAAATAATATTTTTAATCAGTGCAAACTCATAACAAATCTAACAGGATACACACTTTTAGAGTCTTCATAGCAGACAGCAAAAGGAAGGTGTTTTACCCTGTTGGTGTTGGAGCTGCTCTCGCTCCTACTTGGCTTTCTCCTCCAGTAGTTGTGATCATGGATGTGAGGAGGCACGTCACACATCTGTAATCATAAGCATGAGGTTTAGGATGGGACTTCCTTCAACATAACTATATTTGATTGAACATTGAATCCCTTCAACCTGCTGAGCTCAGTGATGTTTCCCTTAATTAGACACGTTTCTACTCTGTATGTAAATGTCATTTTCTTTTTTCTTTCTTTTTCAATTTATCTATTTTAATCATTGCTGTTATATCACATTAAACTTGACAGGAGGCCTATTGAAACAACAACAAAATGAATCACTTATACACTGGCAAAGAATGTGGGCTGCATCTTGAGATAAGTGTGGAAACTGTATTCTCTTTAAAAGGAACAATTTACTGAAGCTGGATGTTGAATGCAAACCTACACAATATGCAATATTTATATTTTACCAGAAGAAGATTAAACAATACTATATGTGTTTGCTTTAAAAGCAGCGGCTGGTTAAAATTGGGCAGGCTTACTTCTGTCCTTAGATTTCAGTCATTACAGCTGACTTTTTATATATTATAAAATTAAATATATTTATATTTAATATTTTACATTATGTTTCTGAACAAACTTGACATTGCATGAGAGTCAGTTTCTGGAACTCTCCCCCTCGAAGGACGTTGAAGAAAACGGCTTGAAAAAAGCTCTTTAAATGATCTTAAACTGTTTATATTCTCCCACGGGGAAACAGTAACAGAGGTCAAATGAGGTCAGCGGGAGTCTTTCTTTCGGCGATCACTTGTGCACTTTCGAGTGAAATATTTGAGTCTTTCCCCTCCGGTGTCAGGGTGAAAAGTTGGGATTTTGGAGCGAGTTTCTAAAATATATAGGCTCTCCATAGCAACCAGCTACATACGTCAGCAGATCAGCTGCTAATCCTAACTGTACTGATTGCCAATTTAAGTATTTCTTTTAGGACTTACATCTAGATTTTAACACAAGCCCACCACAGGGACACAATAATAACTCACGACAAATGACTCAGTAAGACTTACTTTGATGGTTCAAAGTTGTAACTGCCAGTGAATGTGGCGTGTTTGGGCACCTGGGTATTTGGAGCCCCAGAGCAGTAAACTGATTTTTTACTGGTGGTCCAGCCTCACTTGAATTGCCTAGCCCAATGAATCCAAGATGATCAAGTGTGAAATGTAGTCCACAGCACAACATCCGAGTTGTTAGCGAAGTGAATGCATTCTTCTAAATAAAAGTGTTTTATGGGACGCCTATGTGCCATCTGCAAGAGTTACGACTTTTATTGTGAAGTCCAAACGCATTCTATGACCGGAAATGTGAGTCGTTATTGTGGCACGCTTCTTCCTCCCTTCCCTTCCTTGCTAGCAAGTCGACTTAGCCGGCTAGCGAAACAAGCCCTTTAAACTTGGTACTGTAACTATTATGAATTGATTGGTCACTGCAGGATAGTTTATTTCTGTTTCCACAGTCAAGTTAACACCCAAACTAACAACATGAACATACGAAACGCAAGGGTGAGTGTGGTGAAATCCTCTCGACAGCCATGCTGTTTCTGCTGTTAGCTAAGCTAGTTCACTGCATACACGTTAGCTTACCAAATATCGCAGATAAAGGGGTTTGTGTTGTGTCATGCAACTTTCTGACATTCAGTTTTTTCTTTCATTACAGCCAGAGGACCTTATGAATATGCAGCACTGTAACCTGCTGTGTCTTCCAGAAAACTACCAGATGAAATATTATTTCTATCACGGATTGTCCTGGCCTCAGGTGAGTCACAGTGCACATTTCCTATTTCTCCTGTTTTCTGTGAACACCGCTGCTCCTAGCAGTTAAATCCTTAAAGTTTATATATTTCTATTTCTATGACACTCATCGTGTGTTTTCATTGTTGCAGCTCTCATACATTGCAGAGGATGAAAATGGCAAAATTGTGGGATATGTGCTGGCAAAGATGTGAGTATCTGTAATCAGATATTAGTTTTGCATCACTTGGATGAAGGAGATGTTTAGTGTATTCATAAAGCTATGAACTCTTGTTAGGGAGGAGGACCCAGACGATGTACCCCATGGACACATCACATCCCTGGTGAGTCTGGATGAGAGTTATATATTGCTGACGAGATATTTGGCTGGCTTCTCTGGAATAACAAAACCTTTCTCTGGGTCTTCCAGGCGGTGAAGCGCTCCCACAGACGTCTGGGGCTTGCTCAGAAGCTGATGGACCAGGCCAGCCGGGCCATGATAGAAAACTTCAATGCTAAATATGTCTCGCTTCATGTTCGCAAGAGGTACTGCATGCTGTTGGCTGGCTGTGAAATTTCTGTTTTCCTGTTTACAAAATGTGGTTAGCCCTCCGAACGTCTTTGTTAGTTCTCCTGTCACTCACCAGTCCTTCCTCCCCACTGCAGCAACCGAGCGGCCCTGCACCTGTACTCCAACACACTCAAATTCCAGTAAGTCCTTTCAGGTGCTAACGTTGTTTCATTAGTTTTACTGTATTTTCAATACTCCTGGGGATTTTGTTACACAGATTGCATGGCCATACACAAGCCTTTCAGAAATACTGAGGTCATGAGTAGAGCTACAGTAGACAGATAGGTCTGCTGGGTTGATTTATTCAACATAATCACTTAGTACATATATGTAGTTATTGGACTACACGATGACTGGCAAAAAAAAACAAAAACTTGCAGCTCAGAAATGCAAAAGATATCTCTGAGAACAGAAAAGAATAGACCACAATAGTGCACACTCAGTCTTTAAAAATATTAATTGAAGGCTCTTTAATTAACACTGCACTTCACAGGGCTCAGTGTTTATTCTTTCTGACTGCAGCCGTAACCAGCACCTCCAGTTCGTCAGTGTAAACTTTTTTTGTCTCATTGATATCTGTCAGGTCATTTAGAAAGAGTCTTGCTCTTATTGTCCACTAAAGAGTACTGACAAGTTTTGAAACTGTCCTGCTTGGCACATATCTTGGTCAGAATTCCTTTACAAAATCAAATTAAGGGAACCCTTTAAAAAATGTTTGTGTTTTATGCAAAATATTTTAGGGTTCTATCCCAAACTCCCTCAATGGGCAAAAGGATGCAGGCATAGTCTAAGACAGTATGTTGGTGTGATTTTGTTTGTTGGCCTCCAGAGGTTCAAATTATTAAACAATTTACAAAAATAAAACTACTGAATAACAAAAATTAAGTACTCTGTATGTAAGAGGTGCACAAATATCTCAGAAACTCAAATGCGCCCTCTGGGATTCACTTCATGTTACTTGCTCTATAACCAAAACCAGACCTACTCCACTAGGGCCAGGGCTGCCCTTTATAAACCCATAACCCCTCCCACCAGGCTTAATATTTACAACAAGAACAAACAGATATATCTATAAAACACATTTTCTGGCTATATAAAGCTCTCACAGTTTGTGAAATAAAAAGGTGTTTTAACCAAATAATTTCATAAACATTTCTGCATCAGCAAAACAAGTTATTTGCTGCAGAAAACAATATTACAAACTGGAAACATAATTACGCAGCTCATATAACCCCTAAGCTCATGAATACAAACTATTTAACAATGGAAAATGTTACAGCCCTGTTTTGCCAACCAAACTCACGGATATACTAATGTCAGTATTGGCCTCAGAAATCAGTACAGCTCTGCTCATGAGTTCAGTTCCTGCCAACAGCCCCAGACACCAAAAACAAAGTGTGAATAAAATTTAAATACGTGCTGTCTAAAAACAGCACTGAAATTATGTCCTCAATGGCCCAGACAGATATTCATATTGATGGTAACTGGTGTGTTATTTTGTTGTTGCTCCACAGGATTAGTGAGGTAGAGCCTAAATACTATGCAGATGGGGAGGATGCCTATGCCATGAAGAGAGACCTGGCCCACATGGCTGATGAGGTGACTTTATTCTCCATATTTATTCACTTGCCAAAACATGTTGGCACTACACCGACATGATTTCCACTAGCTCCTCGTCACCTCAGTTGACGTGGAGCGCTACTGAACTCTCACACGAGCAGGTCCTTACCATGTACGTGTTTGTGTTTTCTCTATATGTCCCCCAGCTGAGAAAGCCCGGAGTGCGTGTGTCGGGTCACGAGGCACCGTCTGGCCAGAGCCCGTCGGGGTCTGGCGACCAGGAGAGAGAGAGCGAGAGAGACAGCGGAGGAGAGAGCAAGGAGCTGAGTGAAGTCAGCGAGGCAACAGAAAGCACAGACGTTAAAGATTCTTCCTCCGATTCCCAATGACGCTGCAGTCCTAGACATTTTTAAATTCATCCTTCGCCGCCTCTTTTTATCTCTATTCGACAATGTTCTGACAGTATCTCTGGCTTTACAAACTGTGACTATCTGTGCATCAAAGCCGTTCCAACATTTCCATCGTTGGTTTTTCTTAAATCTTGCAGTGATGAAGAAAGAGTGTTTGATAATGACATGAATCGGGATGTTATCTAAAGGAAGCTAAAATGAATATTTGGTTTCAGCGTTTTTATTGGATTGCTGTTGTTGTCATCACCAACAGTGACCCTAAGCTCTGTAAGGTTTTCAGATTGAAAGCAATCTGTCCTTGTCTCAATCTGATCTCTTAATTATTTAACAGAATCACAGCAAATAAATCTTTCAAATAATATTTTTGATATGGCACTTTTTTCAGTAAGTGATCATAAAAATAGCATAAATCATTACATTCAGATAAATCAATCATTATTGTGTGAGGATGTTTAAGTTAGCCACTATGTAAGGTCTATGAAATGTCTACATATATTTAGTTAAAGCTAGACTTCATTATAAACCAATCGTCAAGAGTAACTACAGTAAAACCATCTTCACAGACAGCGAATAGGTTACTGATGAATTTACACTATCACTTCGCATTGGTCAGAAAGCCCCTTCAGTATGCGTAGGATTTCAAAATGTAAAATAAATGGGCTAAAAACAACAGACTGCACCAGTTTTCACGAGTGTCACTTTTCTTCTACAAAGAAGGGTTTAGTCATCAGAATAATAACAATAATGCTATATACACACTACTGGTCAAAAGTTTTAGAACACCTACATTTTTACAGTTAATTAAATTCACATACTGTAATGTCTGTGTTTCTGAAAACAAAGCATAGAACCAGTAAATAAAGATTAAAGTCAAAGGCAGGACTGTTTGCCTTTAAAAAAAAGAATAATGGATATTAAATCCTCATTTTGATCTAAATGTTTGACTCATTCAGTAGCTGAACACTCTCGAGATGTTCTTCCTACAATGGAACGCAAATATTTTCATCTCAGTACAGTCCAGAAGCTCCCAAAAATGTGTTGCACTTGTAGTTTGCTTTGCTTTAGCCTTCAGTCCAGTTCATTCCAAACCAGCTCTGTGGAGACTGTGCTGCCCCTCCATCGTGTGAAGCCACTGTCCTTTCTCTTTTCCTCTGCTGTTTTGGGTTATTATTGTGCTGTAAGATAAACCACTGACCGACCAGTCTGTCTTCCTTTTGTTAGCTTCCTATTTCTCACCATTCTGATAGCAATATACAATACCACTTCCTGCAGTACAGTGTTCTCCTAATGATGAATCAGAGGGCGGAGAAACACAGTTTGTTTCAACACTGCCTTTTTACAGACAGATAGTTTGTAAGTCATCAACAACATTGTTGCCATTAACTTTAAAGGCTGAATTTTCTCCCATTGCTGCAGGAAACATGTAAGTTAATCAATTTCTTCATCCCTGAAAATGGCCTCGAGGAAATCTACGATTTTTCATATTTTTGGTGGCCTACTTTTTTTTTTTTTTTTCTTTAGCTTAGGCATTTTACTGCTGGACTTCAACTGCTGAGATTTCAATAAAAACTGATTGTGCAGGGGCTTTACCGTACATGAAAAGTCAGTCAGTGCAGTCATGTTGATCAAAGTTTGCTTTCTACAATGAGCATCTGACCTCTTGAACCCTCTATGTTTACAGCTTGGCAAAAAGATGCGTTGGAAATTCTTTGTTGGCGTTTCAAGGTTACAAAGTCGGCCCAGCTCTAAACTGAAAAGTCATTTAATCAAACCATGAATAATACATTAAACTTTAATAGAGACTCTCTTCAATCAGTGTTCTTCACCGTACTGGCCTAAATATGTCAGTTTAATTGATTTCCTTTTTCTTTATTTTTTATGGTGATTGTGCAACATTATCCTAGTCTCTGTTTTGAGGAAGGAAACAAGAGAGGGAGAAGTACTACACAGATAACAAAAAATTATGCACTGACCTTTTAGAAAGAGCTAACTTTCACACACTTGTGCTATTTAACACATTTCGACAAAAGGTGAGAGAAGACAACAACTTTGCTGAGTTGCCGTTCAAGCCTCAACAGTGATAATGTGTGTGCAGCAGCAGTCGCTGTTTTTTTTTTTTTTTCTGAGGTAAAAAAACTCTCTTGGGTTCCATTTAAATGTTTTATATGAGGTGTTCTCGGGTTACGGGCCATAGATTACTCATCATACACCGTGGTCATACTGTATGTAAGCAGGTTGTGGACTTTCCCAGAGAATTCAGGGTTTTTCTTTTACAACCCAACTGTATAGCAGCTGATTTCATTTATTAGCCGGTGAAAAACCAGTGAGGAGGGTCTAATCAGTGAGAGCAGCTGGTGTTTGATTGGACTGAAAAACCTGCTGTGGAGCTGAAGAGGCAGCGTGAAAGAAGGAGGAAGGACTTCACTTGAAGAGGTTTCCACTCGTCACACTTGCACAATCACACGCTGATGCCTCAAACTGAATGTGTGAGTGAGATGAGGGGTGAGAAAGAGAGAGCGGTAAAGCATTGTGTGTGTATCTGTGTGTGTGTGAGAGAGAGAGAGAGAGTCAGAGAGAGAGAGAGAGAGTCAGAGAGATGAGTTCCACCCACATCCATCCATGTCCAATGTGAGGGGGAGGTGAAATAGCTTACTTGAGAGCTTACTGTGCTATTAACTGGCATTATTTAGTTGCCTCAGTCTGGAGAAGAGACAAGTCAAGACTTCTCCTCACCAGGTAGGACTCTTTTTCTGCATGTAAATTCTTATTGATTTTCATTTTCACCTGGCTCACCAATACAGGACAGTTTACCTGTTTAGGTCTAATAAACATGTTTTGGTTCAGCAAAGTGTGAGCTGTTGAGAAGGATTGTTCTGCTTGTTTATTTCAGTTATGTTTTTATTGGCTACAGACACAGCCCTCAGGCCATTGTCGTTCCAAAGTTCAGGCGGTATCTACGTTTCGGTACTTGTGGAAACCCACAGTTAAATACACAACTTTAATTCAACATCAACTGTAAAACCACTTGCTGTAAGGTTAAGGCCAGCTTTATTAAAATATTGCAGCAGATTGTGACGACAGGAGGTGGTGATTCACAAGCTGATCACATAGAGAAAGAATGAAAGGGCTAATGGAAAAGGGTGACATACACTGGAAAAATCAGACACTCTCCTTTCTACAGGGAGTGTTGGGTTTTGCTGTAATGTAGCAGTCGTTTTAGCAGGTCAGTTGGTTAATGTCTTAGTTGGAAAAGAGAGAAGAGTGCACATTTCAGCTGAACAGAATGCTGATGAGTGATGTTTGGCTTCTGAATAAAGGGGAAGTTGAGGCAGGGGGGAAAAAGAAAGAGAATGTGCGTGATACTTGTATACAGAAGGTTGTGATCCAGCAAGAAAACACCGTACTCTTCCCCTTTCTGATGTGCACTAATAAAATAATACCTTGCTGTCATCATTCATTCCTCAAAGATCCGTCAAATTATCATGTGGTTAAATGCCTGTCATGCATTGAGATCCTCCAATCATATTTTTTTCTGTACTTCTATATTCTACTGAGAAATATTTTATATAAGGGAATTTTTTTCTGTAATACAACATGGCAAAAATGGATTAGAAACTAAAACCAAAATTCTCATGTTCAACCTCAAATAAACTATATTGTTCCGCCTAAACTGGAACAATCTTCAGTCATCCAAGTCAAGTGAAGTCAAATATTATTTAAATAGCATCAAATCATGATCGATATTATTTCAGGACACTTTTCATACAGCAAGTCTAGACCGTACTCTAAATAATATTATTTACAGAAATCCAACAATTCCTACCATGAGCAGGCACTTGGTGACAGCGGTGAGGAAAAACTCCCTTTTTAAGAGGCAGAAACCCTGAGCAGAAGCAGGCTCATGGTGGGCGGCCAACTGTCTCGACCAGTTGGCCTGACAGAGACAGACAGAAGTAGTAGGATATCTGCTGTAGAAGTAGGAGAGCAAAAGCAGCTGGATGTGTTGCTTTACTCTTGAAATGACGAAAATGTGCTTTGAGTGAGTATCGGGGGTAAAACCACCTGTAGTTTTCAACATAAACATCCCCGCAGAGTTGTGCGCCTTGTCGTTCATCCTATTTTCAGGGCAGCTGAGATGTTGCTGTAGCTATTTTTGCACCTCATGCATTTCTGCAGCGTGACCGGTGCACAAGGCAGCACATGCCAGCTGGTTTTCTAGTTGTCTGCCGTTCAGCAGAGCACAACAGAGGGTGACCAGTTTGAAGAGATGTGTTACAGTAAGATGAACATGCTCTTTTTGCTCTTTCTGTGTGGCAGGAGGAAGTTAGCATGGTCTGTGGAGGGGGGGGGGGGGGGTGTTACAGCTCTAAGAGTGTGAACGTTTAAAGAGAGGCATGCTAGGGTTGCAGCAGTGGATCATAGGCCTTGATTCTTACCCTACTTTCTTCAGGAGAGAAGAACAGAGTAGCTTGCATGCACATAAACACTGGTTTTACAAGAGGGGTGAAAAGGATGGAGCAGTTGATGATTCATATTAGATGGTGATAATAAAATGTTTTTTTATACAGAATTCCACCCAGTTGGAGCAACAATGACTTCTCATGTTAAACTCCGGAAAGAGAGGGTCGGTACGGTGGACTACGACACACAAATCAAAGGTGAAAGAATGACTTTTATCTGTACCACTATAACAACCTCTGTATCACACTCAACTGACTGTGATCTACATGTGGTATTTTCGTAGGAAAAAACAAACGTGTGAAATCCATTTCTTACCCACAGCAAGACTTTCGGAATGAATCAGAGTTTCAGAGTGTCTTTCTCTCTCCCTTGACTGTTGTACCACCCCACCCCACCCCCCCTCTCTCTTCGTCTCTCAGAGGTGCGTTGCCAGCTTGCAGACCAACTGAAAGTGTTGGACTTGCAACTTGAGCAGAAGAGCCAGCAGCTGCAGGACCTGACAGACTACCTGCGGCGACGGGGTGAGATTGAAAGCGAGTATTCCCGCTCCCTGGAAAAACTTGCTGAAAGGTTCACTTCCAGAATTAAGAGGTAAAGACAGCCCTGCCTCCGGCAGTGCACATGATGTGCTAAATTAACCAGCAGTTCATTTGAGGACACTGTTGTGCAGCATTCCTCAATTTATCTTACAAATTGTTTGTCCCTGCGTCTTCCTTTTGTTTCCTCTACATACGCTCAGGAAGGACCCCAGCAGTCACTCAGTGGCACAGGTCTGGTTGGCTCTGCTGTCCCAGACCCGCCAGGAAAGTAAAGATCATAATGGACTGAGCGAGAGCTGCAGCAACTTCCTCATTCAGCCCCTCACACACTGTCTGGAGTACACACAACGCCTTGCCAAGAAGGTAGTTACACAAGCACTGACACACCAGCCACAAACACGAGGCAATTATAAAGTCAAGTCTGTACATGTACAATGTAACTGACTTAAGCTAGAAATACAACCACTTTCCATTTCTGACTCTCACCCGTTGACCTCTGGACACTGAAAATATTTTGGGTTCTGCCACCTCACTTTGTGGTATTTTGCCTCTACGTCATATTTCCAGAGCAAAGACATCTGTTCTCAGCTGCAAGACGGACTACTCAAGGTTACCACAGAGCTACACACTGTAAGTGAGAAAGCAGCCACCCAAAACATTTTCCGTTTCCTAAACAAACAAAAGAAAGCGTTGCTGTATGTGTCTGTGTGCAGGCATGGCGCACGTACCACCAGTACCACTCAGAGTATGTGTGTGCTGAGGGGAAGCTGAAGGAAGCAGAGAAACAGGAGGAAAAGCAGAAGCAGAGTGCTGCTAAAAAACTGGGGAGGTTGATAGAAAAAGTAAATATATATACCTTTTTTCTTTTATCTAAATGTAGTTTAATGTACACGCATGTAGATTATGTCACCCTTTTAATTTCTTGCTGATAAATGTTTATGTGCTTTAGAGACAAGGTAAGGTTCAAGAGATATACCTGAAGTGCAGCAAGGCCCGAAATGACTACCTCATAAACCTGGGTGCAGCCAATGCCTCCATGAATAAATACTACCTCCAAGACATCTCTACTCTCATCGACGTGAGTGCATCTGTTCCCTTCTGTTGTCTGCTGTCTTTTCCTTACCTATACATTAACTAATGCTGCGTATTACTCAAGGTAATGATCCACCCCCCATTTCTGAGGTCTTTTTTTTTTTTTTTTTTTAGAGATACCGATCAACAAACTTTTTAAAACATTGGAACATATTATGTTGTGCTTGAGATATCACCCAAAATATCATGTTTAAAGAAGACATCATGATCTAAAAAAGCCCCCGAATTAAGTGAGCGATATTGTCTGACATGTCATTGTCTCCGTCAGTGTGCGGATGTAGGCTACCACCTCTCTCTGGAACGGGTGCTGGAGGCCTACCTGTCCAGACGGGGGCGGGCTCAGCAGAACCTGAGCAAGGGGCTCCAGCAGCTTCAAGTGGCCGTGTCCGGACTGGACCAGAGCCAGGACAGAGACACCCTCCTGCAGGACCATTATAACACCTTTTCTATGCCCCTTCGGTTCGCCTATCAGCCCCATGACGGGGACCAGGTGGGTGTTTTGCGTGAATAATCGACAAGTATGCTTTTTGCGGTGGATTATTCAGCTGTTTTTGCATCATCCCTGGACTCTCTCGTGCCTTGCAGGTTTCTGAGGTCAGTGCAGAGTGCGAGATGAGATGTGAGCTGGAGACCAGATTCAAACAGATACAGACCAGACTGAAGGTGGTCACCCAGGAAACAGAGGAGGTAGAGTACTTCACCCTTAGCACTTCACGAGTCTGCTGTATCCACCAGTGTTGTAATCACAGTCGCCATCTTTGAGTCTGAGGCAGAGTTCATCCAAGACTGTAAATACAATTATTTTAATGTTTTCTTAACTATTTTATTCATGTAGATGGAAAGTGTCCTGAGCACAAGTAAAGACGTGAAGGCAAACTTATGCAACTTGCGTAAATATGTGAGGAAAAAACAACAAAAAGTGTCCAACTTAATTTGTTTGTTGTCTTTTTAAACATTTCTTCTGAGATGAATCATTTCATCACTCAATTTACTCAGTAAATGGCGGGAACCTACCCAATTTAAAAAGACTTACCACATTTCAAGTCTCAGTCACTAAACCTCAAGTTCACGTCAAGTTTTGTGATGATCGGTGGTGATGATGATAACCACTCCCTTATTTGTATTATACACATATGCTTAAATGGTAATTCTGGCATTTTTTGCAATACAGTCGCATATAGTTGCAATTGTTAGTTGACCTCAGATTCTGATGTTTTGCACACCCTATGGTCATTGACCATAATTAGTGCAGACAGCATAATATATTGTTTTTATCTGTGTCACTGTCATCAGGCTAGTAAGAACATGTCAGCAGCCCAGTCCTCCCTGCTGGAGAATATCAGTGATGATGATCTGGAGCACAGCAGCGGCAGCGGTTCGTCTCAGGACGGCAGCACTGAAAACCTGACAGTCAAGCCCAGTGTGGCCCGGCGCAGGGCCAACTTGCAGGAAATAGAAAACCTCTACTTCACTGTGAGTCTGTTTAGCAGTCTATTTGAATAACACACAGTTGAGCACAGTTTTGATGATATGCAGTTGGTGGATATGTAGAGGCGGTTTTTGGTTTGGCTTTTGGGTTCTGGTCGACGGAAGCGATGCTGATGATAAGAAATGCAATGAATGTTGGTGAAAGCGTGATGCTGATATTATTGATAACATCCGACTTGTTTTACAGAGAGTAAAGGAGCACCTTGTTGGCAGTTCCCTGGTATCTAAACTGCAAGCCAAACATGACCTGCTCAAATTGGCAGTGGAAAAAGGTATCACTTCTGCATTTCTCACGTACATACCACACGACAAACTGCTGACCCAAAGTGTCATTTGAGAACAGCTGGTGCAATGTGGGTTATTATTGTGAGAACAGCTGGTGCAATTCGGGTTATTATAGTCCACTAATTTTGTTGTTCCTTTTTTTATTCTTCTTTTTACCAGCAACCAAAGTATTAAATTTATATTTCATCCCATGTATTTCTCATTTCTTGTCACCGGCTGGTTTGTGGTTGAGCTAATTTTAATCGGATACATTTTTCTTCCTAGCTGATGCATCAAATGGACATCAACCGAGGTAAGGATATAAATGTTTTATAAGAATTTGCCAGTACGTTTTTGATTGATTTATGAGCCATTTTAATGCAGGAACTCAGTTGTGACAAAATGTGACAATGCTGTATCCTCGTGTTGCTCTGCAGACTCAATGGAAAGTCACTGCGTATCAGGAAGAATCACTCAAGTGCCAATTTGATGCACAACCACAAACTCTTCAGTGGAGACATGCTCTCCTTCATACAGGTAGCTCCCATCGTTATCACACCATTTCACCTCCTCCAGCATTTCTGACTACTGGGTGTATTCAGTTCATTTCTCACTTCCAGTACATCAGTTAGCAATAACACACCAGACTTCCTGCTTGTGAAATTCATTACTAAATTTGTTTCACTCAGGCATCAGGACAACAGATTCCAATAGTTGTGGAAAGTTGCATTCGCTTCATCAACCTCAATGGTGAGTATTAAAGATGGAAAGAACAGTGACTAGTTTTAGTTTTAAAATGTACAATAAGTCTTGTGTGTCCATCAGGTCTCCATCATGAAGGGATATTTAGAGTGCCGGGGTCTCAGATGGAGGTCAAAAACCTGAGGGATGCTTTTGAGCGAGGTAGGCCTGTGTTCGTTTTTGTGTGAGCGTGTTTTGGGATGGTCCATTCTGAGAGAGTAGCTCCCCTCACTGTGGGGCATAAATAATATGGGGCAGTGTGCTGTGGGCTTCCCCTGCAGGAGAGGACCCCCTGGCTGAGCAGAGATACGACCTGGACTCTGTGGCCGGAGTGCTGAAGCTCTACTTCAGAGGTCTGGAGAATCCCCTCTTCCCCATCGACAGCACCAACCAACTCCTGGAGCATGCTCGTGAGTGCGTGTGTGTGTTGAAATATCAGATAAGCGTTGCTAAGGGCACGCAGCAACGGCTTATCTTTCCTTCATCACCTTTTCTTAGAAATAAAGAACGAGGCAGAGAGAGCGGCTCAGCTCAAAACAGTCATCTCTTCCTATCCCGAGCCTGTCATCATCGTCATGAGATACCTCTTTGCATTCCTCCATCAGTAAGTATCCCAACTCTTTGCAGTTGTTACTGTTGAGTACTTGAATATGCAGAGAGAAGGTGTTTGCATCAAACAATAATTCACAGGAAACCAACCAACCATGTTTCTTTCTAGAAGGTGGAAGAACCAAATATTTTTATCAGTTAGCTGATGGCTTATTAGATCTGACAGACGTATGATGGATGAGGGATTTCTTTTTTTTTTTTCTTTTTTTTTCTTTTCACATTGTACAGTGGGGTCCAAAGGTCTCTGCAATGTTTAACAGAATCACTAAAGTCAAAATGTATTAGTGGGAAATGACAACACACTGAATGGTGACTTGGCAGAGATAATAAATTGAGATTAAGATAAAACACACACATGACATTGTGTGAACATTGCAACAGGAAGGAAACAAACCAAGCTAAAGGAAAAAGACAAAACCAACTGCACATAGTTTAAATACCAGAACATTTGAAAGGAAATGGTTCATATAGGAGATGTGTTGAGGTGAAGTTTTGACATTATTTATGTGTATTGTCAAGTGTAAGAAGGCAAAAGCATAAGGGAATTTCATTGGAGCTTCACTATGAGCCTCTCAAACGTTTAATTTCCTGCACTCTTTCTCCTTCTTTGTATAATGTTGTGTTTCTCTGCTTCCAGTGTGTCGCAGTACAGTGACGAGAACATGATGCAGCCTTACAACCTGGCTGTGTGTTTTGGGCCCAGCCTAGTCAGAGGGGCTCAGGATGACGATGTTGTCACCCTGCAGCCTCAGATCAACGCCTTGGTGAAAGGCATCATCCTCCAGCACGAAAGCATCTTCCCCAGCCAGAGAGAAGTAGAGGGACCCGTGTATGAGAAATGCATGACACTAGAACAGGATGACTGGTGAGGAAAAAAAGATGTTCACACCCAACACATACACACAACATGGATGCACTGCACGGTGGAATGATAATCTGAGGGTGTTTACTTCACAGTGAGCCTCTCATTGAAGAAGGAGACGCGGAAGCAGAGTACACTCAGGGTAAAGATGGTAAGTTCATGTGTTGATCTTGGTTTATCGTGTCTCTGAGGCCGTGATGGGTATCGTTGAATAGAATAAAAGAATACTTCAATGTGACGTGCTGCAGAGTTGGAAACGGGATCCTCGGCTGACGGCAGCACTGGCTCCTCGGCGGCACCACCGCAGAAAGGGGCAGGACGTCCTAGAGCAAACAGCAGTGGCTCCATCGACCAAAGGAGGTTATCAGCTGGACCAGGAGGGGGCGGCATCGCTTCAGGTGGAAATTTACTGCTTCAGATTCCTGTTGGGCCAATGTGCAAGCCACGGCGGGTCCCCTCTCCTTGCTTTGTGCGCAGAGAGTAAGTATACACCACTAAATGTTGCAGTGTGGCAGCTGACTTGTTATATTTGTGTGAGAAATTGATATTATATGTTTTGTGATGTCCCTTTTTTCTGTAAACAGTTTCCAGGAAAACTCATCTTCTGAGGATATTTCTGTTCATGTGGACAAGGTCTGTTTGTTTCTCATTTGGTTTCAAATGACTAGTTCCACCATGTAAAAAGGCAAACTTTCATTAAGTGTTTATAGGCCATATCACATAGCTTTAATAAGAGTTAATTAATCGTTTACCATCCCTTTTTATTTAAATAAAAGATCATGGATTTATCTTTTTTTTTATTTTTTTTAGTAAGTTGTCTCCAACTATAAATGTTAATAAGTCATTAATGAAGAGGTTTTAAAATGTTCTACTGTTGTAAATTCAACAATGTCTCAAGTTGATACCAAACAGATTTTGGTCCAGATGTTGTGCAACACTTTCCAGGGGTTAAATGGTTAAACCGTCCTTTTGGAGATGTTTTCCTCATGAGCTAAAGAGCTTAAAAGACGAAGCACATTTTGTACTGGAGGAGGATAACACCAGATTTTTCACAACCTGGCAACCCAAAATGAGTTAATGGTTTATAACTTATCTGTAGAGCATCAGTAAATTATTTAGCAAGATTCAAATTAATTAGTTATAACTTACAAACTCTTTTTATAAAGAGTCTGTTTAGAAAGAGGTGCCGAATAACTAATGATTTAATGTAGCCTCTATTACAAACATGATTAGAAGCTCTCGAGCAGAGCGGAGTTCAGAAAACAAAGACGGTTTTGTCTTTTTCCACAAAGCTCATCACCGTTGTTTATTTCATCTCACAGGAGGTCTGTCGCCAGATGGACTCGGTCTTCAAGGAGCTCCTCTCACGGCAACCACTGCAGTATCCCTCCTCCACCACTTCCTCTCCCTCTGCCCAAGCTCCCCAAAAGAAAGTGAAGCAGGGTGGACGGAAGGGAAAGTAGCAGGGCTCTTCAAAGCAGTAGATCCACTGGACTGAGAGGACTGGCATCAGTAGATGACATGAAAAGAGAGAGAGAGAGATGATAGAAAATGAAAACTGAGGTGTGGGGTGATGTGCTCTGACAGCAGCTTTCAACACATCCATTTCAAGAAAACTGAGATCACTGACCCGTAGTCACTTCTCTGAGGCCCCTGTGATCGGTCTTGGCCTCCTTCCACGGCGTGGCTCCCGGCTCAGGAGCCTTGTCGTTCACGTTTCGTGCAGCAGATCCCTGCTGTGACTGCAGATGTGCAGTACAACGTGGAAACTGTGGATTACTTGAAATGCACAGATGTGTTTGTGTACAGTTGAATGTAGTTATGCAACTCATGACTTTGGGGTGTTGATATTCAACTTTTTCCAGTTCAAGCCAAATTTTCAAATTAGTCAGTAGCCTACATGCACATACATTTTCATAGACTGTTTTCCAAAATAAAAAGAATCACAAAGTTGTTGAAACTGAGAAAAAACTGTGAACACTGGTTGTAAGGAATTTGTAAATATTAATTATTTGTAAGGATTTGTTGACAAATATTTGACTTGTCTGTATATCTGGGCAGCATGCCAAATAAATATTTTGTCTATTCTCTCTGCTCTTGTTTTTTCATTTTTTTTTCTATACATGAACTGGGAAATGTGGTACATGTAACTTATATCTCTTTTTGCTCTAAGCCTTGGCTGTTATGAGGTTTCAAATGTATAATAGAATAATTTTGTACTTTTAACTATTTCTTAATGATGATTTCCATTCACATAAAAAGTAAAATAAACCAAAGGTATTTTAGAAATTTTAGATAATGGTAATAGAATTATGAGATGAACCTAATCACTGATTAAATCTCAAAAACAACAAAAAGATAACAGGACTGTGAAAAAAAAACAGGGGGAAGATTAGACATTTTTTCATAACAGCCATTACGGCGGGCACAACATTAAACAATATTTATTTATTTGAAAGTGCCTGAACACTTATCCATCAAACACAATATGATGCTTGGAACTGGAGCAACCCACAGTGGAATGCAGCCTTTATTGGTTATTATTATTACACCTGTGCTTTTACTGCTACATGTCAAAATGTCTTTTGTGAAATAGTGCCAATAGTGACTTGATTAGCAGCTTTAATAGTCTATCAGACATGTTCTCCACTTTGAACAGAGGAAGAGACTCAGGAACTACACAGTTACATACAGAAAAGCCTTCCATGAGGGAAGAGGGGAAAAAAAACAAGAAAAACTTAAATGAACCCATAAGTTTAAATGTTTTGTTAAATTTACATTTATGCATTTGGGGTTTGCCTGTACTGTATGGTGCCAAAATTAAAATAATTATAGAAATATCAAGATGTGATAAATGTTGCCAAATGTTTTCAGGCCCTTCAGTAAAAGTAGCAATGTAAAAATACAATTCAATACTCGATACTCATTGTAAACAGTACATTACAAATGAAAGTTCTGCTTTCATAATCTTACTTAAATAGAGCAGAAGTATTATCAGCAAAGTGTTCATAAAGTATCAGAGTTAAAGTACTCATTAGGGAGCACAATGGCCCCTGCCTCTGTTATATTATTAATGGGTTGTTATTGATGCATACATGTGTAAGAAGCATTTTAACATGTTAGCTGGCTAAGACTGAGCTAATTTGAACTTTTAAAATATTGCCCAGTTTAATCTGTAACAATGCGTAGGTCGTATGGCTGATGGTCAGATAAATGTAGAGGAGCAAAAAATACAACATATAATATAAAGTTACATTAAATGTAGTAAAATTAATTAGATTTGGCAACTAGTAGCAGTTCCCTCTGTTTTTTTTTTTTGTTTTTTTTTAACAATCTATTGCAGCCAATATATTATCTTGGTGTGCCAGTAAACTTAAGTTCCCGTTTCGCAGAACAAGACTTTCTTGTTAAGAAACAGCTGGTATCATCACTGATACCATGTCATTTTGATTATGCATGTTTAACAAATTGCAGGTGATGCAAAATAATATTATTCAGTTATTAAATTCATGCCCTTAAACTCATGTTGTCAGACATTCATTCAGAAGTGTTGGACTGCTGTAGGTACAGCTCGGAGTGGAACAACAGAAGCTGTATTATTATAATATGTTCAATATTATCAGTGGGTATGCTCCTCAAGACTTGTGCTCTCAGATAACTATGGTCCATACTCCATGATTATAATACCAGGGCTAGTGTGTGCTCATGTAAAGTGCTTCGAATGAATAATGCAGGCAGAAATTATTATTTTTTTTATACTGGTTCCATGTTGTGGAACAGACTTCTGCTACAGATCCAGATTTTGAATAAGAGAGGGGCTTAGGGAAGTCAGGTTATGAGGGAAAGAGATTTATAATGAAATCTACAATGAAACTGTTACTTTAGCTCTCCTTGTTTTTTGATGCAGGAGTTTTAACATTCTTGTGTTTTTCACTTTAACAAATTTATCCCATGGATTTTGTGTGTGTGTGTGTGTGTGTGTGTGTGTGTGTGTGTGTGTGTGTGTGTGTGTGTGTGTGTGTGTGTGTGTGTGTGTGTGCGCGTGTGTCTGATAATCCAAAAATAAAAATCAATCAACATCTGTGTCATCTTTAAATATTTCAGGCAAAATATATTGTGGTTCTATTGTAAAATCTATAGATAACTTTTAATAAATCTAAAGGCAGTAGTGGAAAGTAACATAGTAGCCTCTATTTACTCAAGTGCAGCTCTGTATATGAAACATTATTATAGATTGAAGACATTGCATTCTCAGTTGGCAGTTTATTAGGCACACTTATGTACCATCTCAGTGCACCTACCAAACTGCTGAGTTTATATACCCACACAGTTGTTTTCATTTATTTTGCTGATTAGACCTGCTCAGGTTGGGGCTGTGCAAACTTCTGCTGGGATTAAGCCTGCTGGTCACCATGTAGCTACTAATAAGATGTTTTAACTTGATCCACAACAAAATCAGCAGAACATGATTGGGGACATTCTGCAAAATGAGTACTTCTACTTTTTCTACTTTAAGCAGGCCTTCAATTTGTTTTGGCATCTTTTCTGAAGTAGTTTTTTAGTTTTATTTATTTTTGCACAATTTAAAATACACAGGAAATGACAAAGAAAACAAATAGCATACTGTGCATTGAGAGGCAGAAGCCCCAATGGAGTTATTTAAAACCTGCACCTAAGTATGTAGAAATATCAGAAAATGATGACATACAAAATAAACGTACAAGAAAATAACGTCACTACATAAAAAATTATGAGAAACTGATAGATTCAAAATATCTATATATATATATATATAAAATTAGAATTTTTAATGCGGGACATTTATTAGTATTAGTTATATTACACTGAGGTATTGTTTGTCTGTTGTCTGTAACTTTCTTCCACCGATATCTACAGTTTAATTTTGTTTAGATACTGATGACGTGTCGACTGAGTACTTTCCCAGAGTGCTTCGCGGCGCTGCGGTCCACGTCATTCCAGCGCAGCCGCAGTAGCTTGGCAGCGGTGAGCTGAGGTGGACTTCTTCTCGTCGGTCGTTGTGAAAGGAGCGACACGGTCCAGGAGCCGGAGCCGGAGCCCAGCATCAACAAGGAAACCTCAGAGACTCAGACAGCCTCACAGACACCACGATGATCCGGATAGCCGCCTTCCTCGCTCTGCTGGTGGTCGCCTGCTCGGGTATGTCAGCAGAGACCTTAATAAAGCTTGTACTGCTAACCAGCTTTAGCTAGAGGCTAATTCATTCAGTCGCGTCCCTGTGTCTTCTAAGTTAGGTGGAATAATAATATGTCTTGGTGAAACGTGTGTTGCATTGATGTCCAGGGTTTTAGCTAACCTCAGCTCTGCTCTCTATGGTGACAGGAGAGAGCTGCACAGACCCAGTGATCACTCCGTCGGCCTACACCACGTCTGACGCCGTCATCTCTTCCGAGTCTGTCTTCATCGTTGAACTCAGCCTGGCATGTGCCAACGGAGCACAGGTAACTGTCGACTTCTAGCCCTTCAAAAGAGACACCATGATGATATATTGATGTTATCGATTAAGTGAGTCACTGGTGATCGTTTCTGTCCTCTCCAGAGTGTAACTCTGTACGCTGATGTCAATGGGAGACAGTTCCCTGTGACCAGAGGCCAGGATGTTGGCAAGTACCAGGTATAGTAGCGTACTCATGTTCATACATACTGACATACAGCTGCAGGTACCGATAGCACCTGCTGACACCAGCAGTCAAATACCCTTCAAACTTCCTCAGTGAGATTCAGTGCTTTAATGCCATGTCAACATACAGTAGGTGATAGCAATGTGGTTTGGTGAGCTCACACTAAAACACACAAAAAAACCTCACCTCACATATAGTAACATATAGTGGTTCCCACAATAATCCACAATAAGCTTGGCTTCTCTGTGTCAGAAAATCACAAGGAACCTATTTGAGTCTGACCTGAAGAAAGTTATCCACATTCATGTCTCATAGTGTTTGGATTACTGTAGTTCCTTTTGCTCTTGGACAACTTCTCTTTCTTGTCTTCATTTGTTCCAAAGTGCAGCAGTGAGGATTTTAACTAATTCAAGGCAACGTGATTAAGTCACCCCCATCATGGCCGCCCTTTGTTAGCTACCTGTTGATTACAGATTACATTTCTGAACTCCTTACCCCAAAGAGCCAGATCACAGTGTGAGGTCTTCTAGCAAGAGTCTCTTGGCTGTTCCTAGATTGAAGGTGACAGAGCCTTCACTGTCGAGGCCTGCTGCCTTTGGAATAAATTTGGTACAAATTTCCACTTGGACTCAAGGATGGACTGATTAGATTTTGGAGGTTAAAGGTCAGCGTCACTTTGACCATATTTCCAGCAACTTGAGTGGTTGGTGGAGGCACACAACCGTGAGGCTGTAATTTTCTTTCGGTGTTCCATTGCTCTGTGAAGCACTTTCTAAGTATTGTTTGGAAAAGTGCTATACAAACAATTCATTCAACAGTCGATTTAACTTAAAACTTGTCAAATAGTCTTAAGGGTTAATGTCCAACCATAAATGAACGATCTCTTAAAACCTCGAGCTTAATACCTAAGCAAACAAAAACTATAATTCTAGAGATACGAGAGTCATTTTCAGATAATGACCACTGGTGTTGTTAACTGTTTGTCTGATCATTACACAGCAACTGAAAAGCCTGTCTTAACATCTGAATTTTGGAGGGGTACTGCATCTGACTTTCCAGAATTGACAGTCTGACAAGCCCACCACTTCATATAGTGAGGGGCCAGTGTGCCCAGGTGTGAGAGTAGGCAGGATTTTCATTCTTAATGCATCTACTTCTGTCACTTTTTGTCTCTACAAACAAATACAATGACAGCAGTAGTCTAGCGCTGCCCTTCAGGACAGCTCTAATCACTTTAGCCTTCCAACCTTAATCTGTTCCCAAGCAGCTAAAAAATTTCAGCCATTGGTCAACATGTGACTTCTTCCCTCAGGTGTCCTGGAGTCTTCCTCACAAACAGGCCAGCTCTGGAACATATCAGGTCAAATTCTTTGATGAGGAGTCCTACAGCGCCCTGCGCAAG